TACAGCTATAAGCCTGAGGTTCTAAGTAAAAGTGTACGCCTGATTCAAGATGATCTCAATAACCTAACTATCTGGAGCGAAAAGTGGCAATTACCATTTAACCTTCACAAATGCGGGATCATGCACTTTGGAAAGCACCCCTATGAACCCCAACTTTACTTAAATAAAAGTAAAGTCCAGACACTGAATTCAGTACACGATCTAGGAATAAATTACACAGGAAGCCTAAACTTTAAAGCACACGCCTCCTTTATTATTTCTAAAGCCAGACGCCTAATTGGCTTCATAACAAAAAATTTCTTCACGACAGATGCCAAGCTTACCCTCTACAAAATATGTGTACGACCTTCCTTAGAATACTGCTCTTTTATCTTCTCTAATATGAATACCACTGACAAAATAAGAGTAGAAGATGTTCAAAGACGCTTTACACGCCAACTGCTAGGAAGTGACACCACTCTTGATTACACAAGTAGATGTAAGCACCTCTATTTAGAACCTTTATGGCACCGTAGGTTAAGGAACAATCTGATATTTCTCTACAAAGCAATAAATGGACTGTCATTCCTAACCTCCTGTCCAACTATGATCAATGACCCAGCCTATAGACTAAGAAACAATGCATATAAACTATTTACCGAAAAACACCAAAAACAAATGCGTTGTAGGTTTTTTACAGTTCGGTATAGTTTATTGTGGAACAAGTTGCCAATACCTATCCGTAACTGTAACACCCTCACCAAATTTAAAAGGCTAATAACCCTGTTACTAAACTCTAAAGAACTTCAACTATTCCTTGAACTCCCGCCTACCAATGAGACACTTTATTATGGACCGCCCAATATCTAGACGGAACAAGAATATAACGAACTCCATTGTCGTTAGTATGAATATAGCAAAACTAAAGAAAACATGCTTTATCTTTCCCCATTATTTATTGATTATTAACCATGGCCTTCCGCTCCTAACCCTCATTTTCAGTTTCCGAATCTCTCTAATGAATAAATTCAAATTATTCTTCCTAAATGTCCTGTCCTTTTATTTTTCTTATTACAAGTAGACAGATAACTCACTAATCTTATGGATGCTGACCAACTAAGGCCGATCAAAAGAAGCCCATACGTCCTAAATTCTTGTGAGTTGTTCAATGCTTTATTTTTTCTTACCCTGAAAATTTTACAATATTTACTATCATATCCTCTGGTTTGCTATTAGCCCTTACCATCTCTTGACTACATATAATCTGACTTGTCTCTTCTAACCTTTACCATTATTTATCTTCATAGTAGTACGATATATTAAATGGATATCTAACCCATAATACAAATGTTATTACCATCTGATTTGCTTGTAACATGGAACTTGTAGAGACAGCGTATTCCAAATAAGGTCCTTGATAAAAGCAATATTCATACTGACCACAAACGTAAGAGAGCCTAACATCATAAAAGGAGGGAGGGTGGCGTTACTGACCAGCAAACATGATGGTGGGGAGATAACTTCAATCCACCCGTGTCTGTAGGGCAGAACATATTAATTACGGCTCCTTATGTCTAGTGGAATGTCACGAACCAACGGTATTGATGCGAAATTATTCATGAAAAATACCACTTTAGATCCTGTTAAAAAAAAAGCTAAATTGGTTCCACTTCCTACCAAGTAATCCTAATACAAGCAAACTAGACAATTGGTTAAAAACGAAGCCCACTCCATACCCTATAAAATCTGAAAACAAAAAAAGAGAGTTCAAACAGCTTCTAAAGTAAAGAGAGACAGTCATTTGTATCGGAATACTGTTTTCAGCACTTTATTTTATAATTACACAATTCCATACTTCCTTCTAAACTACCTTCATTTATGCAGTTCCTTATCCACTCATACCTTGCCCACACTTATTTTTCTTCAACACATTAGTATGTTCTTACCTAATAAATACTTCAGTAACAGATAAATAGACTAAATGGTTAAACCTTAACTATTCCTCCACGAATATTGTGAGCTCTGCTTTTCGTCCTTCCTTTTTCTTACACCTTTTCCAGCCTCCTGCAGATACTCCACCGAAAACAGATATGGCACGGGTGACTTCGTCCTACACCGTTATTAATGCTTCCGATATTCTGGAGGGATATAAGTTCGAAACTTCTTAAAGCCCCCAACTTCGCATGTATCTATTCTCGACCATCAGTTGTATGTTGCAACGCTATCTCCATAAAGTGCGCCAAGTGTGATATTGATATTGACATGTTTCCTATGAAATCTATTTACATTCATATCTTATGAAATATCAACCCAGCTGAGTAATTTTCAACAGTGAAAATTGTAACTTCTTTAACAATTTGATCTTGCCTGTAAACCGGCATGCCTCATGTAACAATCTGTTGTTTGAGAATAAATTATTATTATTATTATTATTAAATATCAACCCAGCTGAGTAATTTTCAACAGTGAAAATTGTAACTTTTTTTAACAATTTGATCTTGCCTGTAAACCGGCATGCCTCATGTAACAATGTTATTTGAGAATAAATTATTATTATTTATCTGATGGCTTTCTGTCATTCATGTTCACCAGGTAGCGAGTGGGTACGCCGTTCTACGCATCACTTTCAATTGTTGACAAACTTAGGTTAAACACATCTCAATATAGCGACAGCTTTTCAATATATATTCGAACCACCTTACTTCTGACTGGATTGGCCTACTTCGATCATAAAATGTTGCGTGTAATAGCGCTGTCAAAATCCAAATACCTGTGGTTTCTTTAGTGCTGACATCGGCGTGATCTGGTACACTAAACAGTAAAGTATAAGTTAGTTCCTTGTGAGAACATGATACTTCATTTTTGAATGTTAATTTGTACCTATTGTGATACCCTTTTTATATATTTATCATTTTTTTCTCCAATTTGTATGGTATATCTCCATCATGATGGAACGGACACTCAATTTACTTATGAGTAAAACTCTTCGGCCTCACGCCATTCAGCTAATGCCATTTCGTCCCGATAATATAGGAACCTGTTTCTGCTACGCAGAAGCTAACTTTCACGAGCATGGCACGATTTCTTGCAGTAATGAAAGCAGTACTGCACGATTTTGGCAGTATGTGAAGAATCATTGTGCAACGACTCTTGACAAGAGCCTGTTTTGACAGCTCTTCTTGCCTAAGTTTCACCAATAGGTGAATTCAGTCATTGCTGTTGACGAACTGGCTGTATCTGCAGACCTGATCCTGGAGAACAACAATACCTCAACACCGAGGTTTATTTTGTCAAAGAAAAGATTCAAACAACACTGAGGTCTGTCATATTCTCACTTTTTATCTTAATATGCATCATAACCACAAACACTCCGATGCTCCTCAAAGAAGCTCGTCACGAAGACCTGTTTCTAGACTACGATATACACATTATTCTTAGTAATGTTGGTACCACAATACGTATGACAAGCTCTCTAAAAATAGCTGAAAACTCTACAGTTTCCCAACCTCCGGACAGTCTGGCACGGAAACCATCTCGAGATACTTCCCTGACTGCACGCGTTAACGGAATCGTAACAGGCTAGCACAGCTGTCCATTATACATCACTGACGTGTTTACGAAAGTTCTGTATATCGACGACACCAGCTTATTAGTCAGCGTTCTTCCTAAAGATTCTGACGACTGACAGTGCGAACCAGTTTTGAACTTACTGGTCGCAAACAGGAAACAGATTGCATCTTACAGTAAGAAATATATGTATCATAACATGGGTTTAAACGAACCGATTCACTGGATTTTCGCTGTTAAGGATGTTTCTACGCCTGTCATTGGTATGGACAGACTACACTACTGCAATCTACTCACTGACACACTCAAGCGAAGATCAATAAGCGGAGTACTTAATTATCTGTTTGTGTAACTAACTTTTCCTGTTGTAGATTGTTCCCAGTCACCGTTAATCATATAATCCATTCATACTATTGACAGATAGTTGGAAGGAACCTAAAACTATACCAAACGCAATAAAAACTTTCTTACCTGTCCGGCACTGTCACAAATCGCATCACAAAATACATTACCACCTTTATTTTTGTGAGCGTGCCGACTAGCTAGTGAAAAGCTGAATTTGGCTAGAAACAAAGTGTGTGTGGAGATTGTAGTAATTTTAATTCATGAATTGATCTAAGCTAGACCACTAGTGAAAACCTGGAAACACTGTACAACCTTTCCTTCCTAGTAAGGGCATACGTTACACAAACTTTCCAGAGATTAATCGATCACGTTCTCCGAAGTCTTATATCCTCTTGAAGTCAACCACACCAAAAAGCTGCGGTCACTTCGTCTGGGAAAGCATTCCAAATCAAGGAAACTGTGAGAAGACATGGAAACGTGTCTGGATGTTCTCTCTTTGACGTGCAGTTTTCCGAAGGTTGCCTTGATGAGCGCGATGGTGATGTTTTGATGGGACGTTTGTGTTGGGGTAACTTGGCGTAATTAATATTTTGTATGCCACGTGCAGATCACTTCCTATAGCTCAGCGATAATCATCACAGGTGCCGTATTCTGTCCTCGTAAGATCTATCTCCTACATGATTCCCCGTCTCTTCACTTAGATATTTACGTCTTTTGAAGAAAGGGTACAACATGGACGTTGTGCACTTGGAAGTGTGACCATGGCTACGTTTTAAAGTGTTAGTGACAAGCCTGATGTGAACCAGTGTCTAGTCTGTCAGTGGTTATCCTGAAGAAACAAATGGCGAATGAACCCATTGTTGGTCACCATCTACCATAAGGCTGCACCTCTGTACGTTGCTCCACTGCCTTATGGATCAGAATTTTAGGTAGAAGGTATGGGGTGTGGCCCTCTAATAAAACCACCTGCTTCGGTCTAGGCACCCGGGCAGTATGTTATTCAACGCATAAATCAAGTGACTTGTGTGGCACATTTGTATTCAGTGTACCTAGACATGAATTGTTGCCCACAATATTTGCATGTAAAATAATGATAACAAGATCATCCTTTATGAGAAATTTGTTTATTAAAACTGATAAAGTACAATAATAGAAAGAACGTAATGTATAAAATTATAATAATATTCCATGAGCAAACGGTATAACAGATATTATATAATGGATTTAAAATTCATAATAATTAGTGTATTATTGTTATGAGAATTGGTCCAAAAGCTATACTTTGCGATAAAATAATTCGGCGATTTTTGGCAAACTCTAAAATAACAAGGAAATTTAATAAATAAATTAAATGTAAACATAATTCAAAGTTATCAAGATAAAGATTATGGAAATTATTGAAAACCTGAAAGCAATGAACAGTTCATTGCTGAAGGGATACATATTATTCATTGATTTTGAGTGACATCAGTCAATGTGTTCAACTGTTGATTATGCGAGTTATGAGGACCTCTGTGTGACATGTTGTATTTGCCGACACGATCTGAATTCTCAGTACGTACAACTAATCCTCACACTAGGATGCGTTAGCAGTCTATTGCTGTTTGGTTTTCAGTGGTTGTCAGTTCTTGATGAAAATGAAATATAAATTCAATTCATTTTCATGAATATTTCAAAAATAATCGTCTAAAGGTTAATGTTGAACCATTTGAGTTACAAATAAGAAACTGAAATAAATAGAGATGAGTTAAAAGGAGAAAAACTCCTTTGTTTGCAATGAGTAAAAAGAGCTTTGAATTCCTATTGAATGTGATTGGTATATGAGCTATTTACCATATTACCGGTTCATTTATATTCAACAAATGCAATTAGTACAATGTTCACTTAAGTTTCTAATATCAACTTCAAATGTAAGCTATATGACCAACTAACGCCTGAATTGTTATCTGGGAAAATGTGCCATGTGAAGTTAACATTCATCATATAATTTCAAACTATTAAAGGTGAAAGCATAATCTGCTAACGACTTTATGCGAGCTATCAGGTAAACAGGAGACGCTAACCAGTTAACAGCAATAATCAATATTGTGACAGTGGAATAATAGCTTGGATCTGAATAATCAACCACCCTCACATGACGAATTATTCTTTTTGGTAAATGAAAAAGGTTAAGTTTTGCAGATTAACAGTCGATTTAGCGTAATAAGCTAAGATTACCACATCAAAGAGATGTCGTCAACAAATAACACTAGTGATAAGACAAAAAGGTTAGAGTTAAGTATTAAGAGTTACGCTGGAGTTCTGAGATGGGTTTACAAATTACGGTTGAAGTTTTCATCATGAAATGGTATCAGCTGTAATACAATTCTTTATCATCCGAGAAAATACTATCCAACCTCACGAAGTACTATTCGCTACATACTGAATTACATCAGGTACTTAACCATATATTCTGCCTTAAAAGTGTGTTGTAGTTTAGCTTGAGCATAATCTAAAATTCACTTTTTGGATGCATAATAGACATTGTTTTCAATTTCAAACATATCAAGAACCACCATAAAAGTTATCTACCACTGCACTTCAAGTTCCGCACAAAATAAATGAGGCGTAATTGCAAATCTAATTGGTTAACTTAAGGCTGTCAGTATGCTATACATTCACCTCACTAAACTAAGAATATTTACAACTCTTTTATCCTAGTAAACGTTTTCGCACACATTACGTTAGAGTAAAAGATTTAATCCAATTATTGTAGGATTGATTGCTAGGAATCAACTTAAGAACTTTGAAAGCAAAAGATGAACGGAGCAGTGGTTCTTTGGAATTCAGTGTCTACAAAGTTTTATAAGTCGACATACTAGTTGCAAAGGATTATGAACTGTGTTTCATCACTAGTGACGGAAAAAAGAAAAAAACAGGTAAAATGAATACATTTCATACCTAACAATGTCATAAATACAAATGCTGCTTGTTTTTTACTGGATCCCAATGGACAAAGGTTTTCGATGTCAATCGAATAAGAATTTGACTCCAATAGTCGACTATAGAGATATCTATATTGAAAAATAAAAATGTTATTGTATTCATGTACGGAAAACTTAGATTGGAATTCACCAGATTGTATGAATATGTCTTGAAAACGTAGACAGAGAAAAGATAATCATACAGATCGTGATAAAATTGTAATGAAGTAAAGGTTACACTGTAATGGACATATCAACAACAGAGAAAGTTGATTTTGAAGTACGAACTGGTGAACTTTATAATATAATTCAGAAACTTAACACTAACTAGTATCACCATAAACAAAACTAATAAGATGAATTAATCAAGCGTTAATTCAGGCCTAAATAATAATTGAGAGTTGATGAGTAGTGAACACTGTTGGTCAAGATTTAGTTTAATTTTACGAAGAAAAAAGATATATGCTATCAGTTGACTCAATTTCTTGAGGTAGATATTGATATTTATGAATGAGTTTGTGTATATATTTTGATTCGTTTAGCTAATAAAAGCTTTCTATTTACTTTCTGGCTTTCTCATACAAGTAGCTGGTTAGGGACCCAAATAGGAAGAATATACATCATTCACAATTGATTGATCACTGGGTGGTGATCAATATCATGTGTTAAGTCCTTCTTAGTGCTGATCGAATGCTATCGATCAAGTTGTAATGTGGCCACTAGTCTAGGTGGCTTGACACTGCGTGCACTATGTTGAGATAAGATGGTGGTTGGAGGTGGTCAACAGGAAACCCTGGACTCGGGTTTCGTGCTACTTGGCACTCGTCAGCAAGGTGTACATGTAATCTTGAGGGAACTGGTACTCCCTGATGGATTCGATCCCGTGCCACTCAGTTTCACAGTCAGAGACGTTACCACGTTACCTTCAACTACCATCTTATCTCAACATAGTGCACGCAGTGTCAAGCCACCTAGACTAGTGGCCACATTACAACTTGATCGATAGCATTCGATCAGCACTAAGAAGGACTTGACACATGACATTGATCACCATCCAGTGATCAATCAATTGTGATTTCATCTTAGTCCTACAGGAGGTTGGTCGCGGCACGAATAGCCCCGTGGTAACGTCTCTAACTGTGAAGCTGAGTGACACGGGATCGAATTCGTCAGGGAGAACCAGTTCTCTCAAGATTACAGATACACCTTGCTGACGAGTGCCAAGTAGTACGAAACCCGGGTCCAGGGTTTCTTGTTGACCACCTCCAACCACCATCTTATCTCAATATACATCATTGTCATGATCACAAATGAACTCGGGGGAGAGGGAAGATATGAATATCCAAACAAATCTGACGAAAAGAAGTTTCATTGTAGTAAATGGAGGTACTAATTCATTAAAATGTGCTCAGTTAGCCACAACTTATTTGAAATGACACATCTGAGTTTTATCATTTTGTTCGAATAACGAATAAGGTATTGCTTTTTATAACTTATACTCAAGAGGAAATTATCTTTCATAACATGGAGTACACTAGATCATATGAACATTAGTGCTTGTACAGTTAATCTGTTAACAACCACATATCACTGACAATCGTAGGTTTATATATATATACCGTAAATCTATCTCCACTTTCTAGTTAATCACAGATCTTATACCGTCTGGATGCATCATTATGCCACAACTGTAACTGGTGAAATGTTCTCGACTGACAATCAACCTAATTACATGTGATATTAATTTGTCGGTTTGGTGGTCCTTATAGTTTTAATATTATTTACAAATCTTTTGGGAGAAATATATTTTTAAAAAAACAAAGAAACAAGTGAACAATTACAATTACCTCCATAATTGTGATTTATCATGAAAATGTTTTTCCGGAAAAGAAGAAACTTCAATAGGCAGTGGACATTGGTCAGGCAATGCTTCAGTTAAATTAGGAACAACAGACCTAGAATCTATAAATAATCGAAAGTAAAGTAAAGTGTTTATACAACACATAAATGATAATAAAAAGTAACTATTATATTTGTTGTGAAAATAATGAACTTATTTGAGGGGGGGGGGAAGATTTTACAAACAGTCATGTTTTTCGTTTTGAAATCCATCAGTTATGGACATTCTAGAATATTTATACATAACAAAGAACTGCATAGTATTCAGTCAGAAACGTAGAACCTACCACTTCTGTATGTCGATTCAACTTTTTACGGTATATTAACATAGAAAGTTGGAATTATCAACACAAATAATATAGTGAAAATCATAACAGAATAAGAGTAATGGAAAACATTAGGCTTAGACGGTATGATTCCAGAAGAATGAATAATCATCCCGTGATTGACAGTGACATCTAAACCACACTACAAATGATGGGGATACTTGAAAACTAATCACGTTTTCTTAATCCATAATGGGATCTCATCAAGCATCAACGCACCAGTGTTAACAATGCTTCAAAATAAATAAATAAATAAAATTAATTGATAGAAAGAAGCTAAACGAGAGATTTGTGTGATTCTGCACTATCTACTATATATAAACAGATAACAGAATTAAATAGTAAACAACATTTGATGATGAGATTGGTGCACGTATAATGAAAGCCAGAGCGGCTTATGCCAATCTGGGCCATCTTTGGCGCCTTCGTGATGTTAGTCTGGCTGTAAAAGGTCGGATCTACAACGCGTCGGTGAGAGCAGTTTTGCTCTATGCTTGTGAAACCTGGCCTCTCCGAGTTGAGGATGTTAGACGTCTCTCTGTGTTCGATCATCGTTGTCTCCGAAGGATTGCTGACATTCAGTGGCAACACCATGTTAGTAATGCAGAGGTTTGGCATCGTGTGTTCGGGCGCAGAGACGATAATTCAATTGGTGTCACCATCTTGAAACACCGACTTCGGTGGCTTGGACATGTTTTACGAATGTCGTCCCAGAGACTTCCACGTCGTGCATTATTTGCCGACCCTGGGACTGGTTGGAAAAAGCGGGGAGGTGGTCAGTGTATGACATGGTGTCGTGGCATGAAAGAGAGCTGCAAAGGGCTAGCTTTTGTTGATCCTTCACGACTCCTTGGTTGGGGTCCGAGAGATGGTGCAACACAGTGGCTAGAGACGTTATCAGATATGGCTCAGAATAGAAGCCAGTGGCGATCCTGCTGCAACCTTCTTTTACTTTCTACATAAAGAATGGTTCTAACTTTCCTAACTGAAAGAATCTTCTGGTTGTACATTTCAGTCCGCCTTATCTTTTCATCCTTTCCCTTCCTACTTTCATTATTTTGTGTGGCGCATATGTACCTGGTGCCCTTTTGTACCAATATATATGTGTTTAAATAAATTAATAATAAATAACATAAAACAGTCCCGAAGTAACAATTCACACTTAGAAAGAGATACGTATTTCGAACAAGTTTGCATTGTTGCTCAAGGTGATCAGACGACTGTTTTAGTGGCATTTCTACCAGACAGAACTGCCACCTGGAAACTAGGAGCAGATGAATTGACATAATATCTCAGCTTTTGACCGATTTCTGAAAAGTTAAATGACCATAAGCTGAAACTTGACAATTCGTATTTAGGCAGAGCTTTTAAAAGGTCTACGAACGTTTTTGTACATTTTTCAACGAGACAATAGCATGAAATATGTTGGTCCTGAAGCGGAACGATGCCTTATGGTCAAAAAGATATCATGTATACTTATATCGGACGCATATCACTTTCATTATAGACCATCTCTGTAGCTGACCCTAAAATATATTATTGACCACAAACAATTTTTGCAGTGGCATTCCTGCTTCCAACAAGAAACAGGCAAAGGAGTGATCGGACTAGAAAATTAACAATATACGACTCAAAACTAACAATATTTCTAAGACATCCGTGATTAAATAATAGAAACTTAAGAGTGCCTTCTACTCTTAATAGCTACGTTTCGCAAAGGTGAAGTTAAACAGAAACGAACTGCTGAGCAGTATACTCGTACTTTAATTGATAGTAAGAAGCTAAACGAGAGATTTGTGTGATTCTGCACTATCTACTATATATAAACAGATAACAGAATTAAATAGTGAACAACATTTGAAATAATCGGATCAATTCACTATCAGTCTGTTGAACTCAAACAACTAAACATGAGTAAATTAGAGTGTAACATCGTCCAGTGGAGATAAAAAAATTGATTTGATGAATGCAAATATTAATAAAAACATAAACTAACCAAACTCATTTTGCTGTTGCAAGTTTTCTTCAGGTTCTTCAATTACAGGAATTAATGTTGTACACTCAGTAGGCAAAGATATTGAAGTCCCTGAAACAGGAAGATCTAGAGCTTGACGAGTTGATTCAGAAGCAATATTATTACGTAAATTTGATACAATATCTGGGATAGGTTGATCAGTAGCACCCCCAAAAGATTCTTTCATTTGCACTAATGATTCACGCACACTAATCGTCTAATGTAGTATAAGTGAAAAAACATTGATATTTTTGTAGAGAATTACAATCATAACAGAATAGTTTTCTATGATGCCTACCATATGGCGGTGAAATAGAAGTAAATTACTAGTCAGTCACAACGTAGAACTTCGTACATCGGTTCGAGTTGCCATACCACATTAGCACAGAGATGCAACTGTCGATTCAAATCCCATAGTGGTAGAGGTAGTAAGAGTATAGCCCCCAAATGCCCTGGTATGGCCGAGAGTGGGAAGAGTCCGCTCTCCCTCTCGAAATACTCTCACATGGCCATGCGTAATATAGCCTCAGCTAGGGAAGTCCTAATCACTACCTTCACGTGGCAGAGGTGTTGTTTACGAAATTGAGAGGACGAAAAGCGAATGTCCAGTGCTTTAAACGGGTTGGTAGACACGGAAATTCCGCCTAGGAGAGTTGGAAAACCCTGATTCCAAACCAATGGTGCACGTGAGCTGCAGTATCCACACAGAACAAATGGCGTATGAACCAATTGTTGGTCACCGGCTGCCATGGGAATACATCGCCTCACGATGCTCCACTGCCTTGTGGATCAGACCTTTAGGTCGAAGGCTCGGGGTGTGACCCCCTAAGAAAACCACCAGCTTCAGTTTGGGCACCGGGACAGTATCTCAGCCATAACACAAATCTCATTTGATTTGTGCGGGGCATATGTATCTAATGCTTCCTTGTACCAATATTTATGTGTATAAATAAATAAATAAATAAATAAATAAATAATAAGTAAGAGTATAAGCACTAAACCGAAAGATTAGGGTTTGAAGATGTTATTGAAGGAGTATAATCCAATGAAGTAAATTTGAAGAGCAAAAAAGGATAGGGACATGAAGAATTCAGATTATTAGAATTTGGGAGAACATGACGAGTGGATGCGCCTTCGCCATTGTAAACGATTTTGAGCCATGTCATTCAAGGTCTCTAACCATTGGTTGCTATCATCTCGCGAATCCCAACCAGGTAGTCTATACCTACCAAAATGGCTCAGTATACTTGTCAGTGAATTCACGGATTTGTACCGTGTTTTGGTCTGGCCCCTCCTAGCTTTCTTCCAACCTACTCGTACACCATTGCACGTCAGGGCAGTCGGTGGTTGAGCATACGTAACACGTGTCCTAGCCATCTCAACTGATGAAGTTTCACTACTTCATCACTAAAGGTCAAACTTAAAAACTGGTCATATTATCTCTACTAAGATGATATAAAATTTTAACAGAGAAAAAAAGTGTATCTTCAGACAGCACTATATATATATATATATATATATATATATATATATATATATATATATATATATATATATATATATATGAAGAGGCATCCGTTTTCGTATAATCATTTGAGTGCCTATAACATTAATGAACTTGTGTTATAGGGACTTAAAAGATTAAAGATAAAGTAAAGGCCCATTCATAACTTTGGTATAAAATAATTAATCCGCTAAATGTAAAATTTCAAATGAATCAGGATTATAAAATCAGAATGGCAGTCGAACTCTCGAGTGAATGAAAAAAATCCGTCTGATTTATGAAGTGAATCCATGAGAATCTTTTATGCATACAAATTTAAGAAAACAGACGGCTAAAGAGCCTAACTTCAAAGAACTTTCACATGTGTTCCAAACAATGTTAACACAAATGAGAAGGGTATTAGTACGGAAAAACAATATATTTCCAAGGTAAGACTGGTGTATTCCCAAATTATGTAAAGCAATGTCAATAAAGCCATTTATCGGACAGATTACGTAAAAAATGTTACGTGGACAAACTAATACATCGAAACAATAAGATATGATCAATTGTGGAAGGAAAGTTCTGAGTATTATTACTTGATACGAATCAGCCTATATGAATACTTCAGCTCATAACAAGAACAAAAAAAATTAGTACCACAGTATGACTGGCTAGATTTAATGAATTTCGTTGAGAAGTACCCTACTGCTAGTCTCACTACAATACAGTGAATACGGGATGATCTACAAATAAAGACAAGCGATTTCGACAAATTAGATTTTAATCTATACGGCACAAAATGACATAGATTGTCAAAGAAAAACACAGCCTCATTATGTCATTACCATTATGTTTTTATAGGGGTCAATGAGATTAAACAATTTTTATGTGTGAATTGAATTTGTTCAAATACAAATGTATTACCAATGAGACCAATCCTCATGAAATGATATTAAAGGAAGGTGTTATATTACCCAAACTAGATGAGTTTACATGATGCAAACCATGTAACAAAAATGGTATGAGTGAGTTTTCTGTGGAGATTTTAAGTAATTTTCATATATACTTGAAATCATAAGTCAATTGAAGCTAGACCACCATGGGAAACCTGGAAGCACTGGACGGTCGTTTCGTCCTGTTGTGGGACTCCTCAGCAGTGCGCACCCACGATCCCGTCTCACGAGACTCGAACCCAGGACCTGGCTCCATGAGGTATTTCCTGGAGTTCTAGTGAGAAGCAGTAACCAGTGGAGTTTAACCAGGTCTGTTGGGAGATATCAACTCACTGAAGACATTGGTGAATGGTTACTCAATTTCGTGGATTGGTTGAAGTTAGACATTAACACCACTGGATGCAGACTCAGTGGTTTATCGGTCAAGTGCTCCGGTGCGAGACTGGTAGGTCCTGTGTTCGAATCTCGCGAGACGGGATCGTGGATGCGCACTGCTGAGGAGTCCCACAATAGGACGAAACGACCATCCAGTGCTTCCAGGTTTACCTTGGTGGTCTAACTTTAATTGATTCATGATTTCAAGTATATATAAAAATGATATGAATCATTTTGTTTAATCTCACCTGATTATGAGTTACATCAATGATATTGCTAGTTCCAAAAAGAGAATCAGATCCAACTAAAGTAGAATGATCTCCAGCAAGTCTTTGAATTTCTACTGAAGATTCATTTTCTTCTGTAATAGCATTCATTTTTATGGATGATGATTTAGCAGGACGTTTAGTTTGGATTATATCATTATTTACTGACATATCATTAAATTTTCTTTTTTGTAAAGATTTTTCACATAAACGCCGATGATAACACCAAAGCTAGATAAAAAAAATACACATAAATTCATTAGATAAAGCTTATATGATCCTAAAAATAATCTAGTGATGTCAGTCAGTCAGCTACAACGTAGGACCAGGCATATTTATACGTCGGTCCAACTTACCATACCTCGTCAGCACAACAAGATGAATATCAAATTCCTAGAAGTAGTTAGTTTAGTGGTGGTAGTATATAAGGATGTGATGTGATCAATTCTAATGTCAGTATTACATGAACTGATAAACTATGCTTTAAATTGGCTCAGCACTGTTTGTACGGACAAAAACCCACTTAGTTAGTTACTGAGAATGCTACATCCAATACAACAGTTTAAGGATTATTCTTTTTCTCACAAGAGCATAAGTGTAGAAAATAAGCAACAACAACAACACTGAGCTGATCAAACATGTTTTTATTGTAATAGTTGTTTTTCAGTTTTACTTAGAGTAACATCAACTGAAACCGCGGTGTTGAACATTAAACTCTACTAGTTTGGTTAATTTTGCGTTCTTAATCAACTCATTTAACAGGAAAACATTTGCAGGAAACTATGTACGGATACATTTTGTTTTAAAACAGTATTAGATTTTATGGTTATATACAACAAGAAGACGAACAAATTTGTTAATTGGATAATTATCCTAAATATTTGTCGGTATAAGAATAAAGATTTGATGACGAATGCTATACCTAGTGATCAGAGGAAAGGCTGAGATCATTAGAACAATAAAACGCAATATCTGAAAATTGCAAAATTAATAGTTAATTGATCCGCTCATTCGGCCAGAACAAAACATGGCACAAATCCATGAAGTCACTGACAATTGGACTGAGCCATGTTGGTAGATGTAGACTACCTAGTTGGGATTCCAGAGATGATAGCAATCGATGGTTAGAGACCTTGAATGACATGGCTCAAAATCGTTTACAATGGCGAAGGCGCATCCACTCGTCATGTTCTCCCAAACTCTAATAATCTGAATTCTTCATGTCCCTATCCTTTTTTGCTCTTCAAATTTACTTCATTGGATTATACTCCTTCAAACCCTAATCTTTCACATAATGCTTATACTCATACTACTTCTACCACTATGGGATTTGAATCGACAACTGCATCACTGAGTTAATGTGGTATGGCAACTCGAACTTATGTACGTACGTACGAAGTTCTACGTCGTGATTGACTCAGTTAGTCAGCTACAACGTAGGACCAGGCACATATATGCATCGGTCCAAGTTGCCATACCTCGTTAGCACAACAAGATGAACACCGGACTGACTGACTCATTCGGTAAATCTAAACGAAACTGACAGAGCTTACGAAAACACTGAATATATTAATTAAAGTTAGGCTACTAAATATCTCTCTTAATTCAATTATATCTATAATCAATAAAGCGTCATTTCAAAGTCAAGATTAACTCTGCTTTTATGAAAAACACCGTTTTACTGGAATGAAAATGTATCAGATAGGAAAATTCTCTTTGTTACAAGTACAAATGCAAATAAATGACGTACTTCACAAAGTCTTAAACTAAGAGCAGTTTCCAGATTACCAGGAACAGAGAATAATCGTGAAATACTCCGAGACAATAGATACTGTGTTTGACTGCGAGGAGTCGATTCAGCCAGATAAACGTCTCGTGTAACCATAGTTTCCTCGCCATGTAACATGTTCCATCGTAATTCTGATCCTGTTAATCGAGTGATTTCATCAATGATGAGTTTGTTAGAACGCTTTTTTATACGACGACGATGAGTATCCTCCTCAGATTCGACAGGATGTAACGAAATCGGACATACGTTTTGCTCAGAAGTACTACTCAAGGTTCTAGTCCTAGAAGAAATACCAAAATCATAGGTATATGAGTACAAATCTACACTACTAATATATTTTACGTAATTTGAATATGCATTCCAAAGAAATCAATTGAGCAATTAAAGAAAATTGAAAAGAAACGAATAGAAGTTTTGTTACATCCAAAATAAGTTGATATTGATAATTAGACAACATTTTCATAGTTGAAATTATGAGTCAATTGAAGCTAGACCACCATGGAAAACCTGGAAGACATTAACACCGTTGGATGCCGGCTGGCTCAGTGGTCTAGAGGTTAAGAGCTCTGGCGCGAGACTGGTAGGTCCTGGGTTCGAAACTTGCAAGTGCGGGATCATCGATGCGCACTGCTAAGGAGTCCCATAATAGGACGAAACGGCCATCTAGTGCTTTCAGGTTCTTCATGGTGGTCTACCTTCAATTGACTCATGATTTCAACTATGAAAATACTAAATTCTCCACAAAACCCCTTCTGATCTATAATTAGACAATAGTTTTAATAGGTTTCAAAATATTACGTCGTGCTTAAGTGCAAGAAAATGGGTTGGTTTGTAGTGATAACCATTTTGAAAACAAGATAAGAAGACGCTGATTTCCATGGATGAACACTTTAAAATAATACCAATTTTATGACGTGTTGTAATCACAATAACTCCTATGGTTGTATTGAAAGAGCTTCAGTTTTATTATTCATGATAACAAAATGTGGTTATTCAAAATTTTTTTAGCGCAGTTTAATTCCCGAAATTCTAACCTTATTATGGTGGACACTATTAAGCTCAACGAATTTGTACACGATCTGGAACATAAGCTTTCTGGTATTTTCTGGAGCAATTTGGCTTCCTCTTTTGACAAATCCATCTTTGTGATCCATGGATTTGCATTTTCTACAACGATGTTGTTTATACAGATAGGTTCGTATATATAATGCCATTTACTACAGTGTCAGCAGGGAGCAAGAGGATTGGTTTTCGTACATTGAACTGAACTCGAATGAGATGGGCTAGGAATACCAGGCAACGTTGGCATCGAGATCGCAATTAAATTCGACGATACTGCTTGTGACGTCTAACTGAATTACGATCCCGATGTCAATGCTACTTTGACATGTAGTTCCGGCGCTATGAGGACTTATTTAAATTTGATTTTACCAACGAAGATGATGCTTGGGAAGTTCGGTTGCTATTTCGGAAATTGGGTCCGAGTGAGTTGGATAGGTACTGTAATTCAATTTTGCCTCTGAACACACGTGATCGCTCATTCTTGAACACCATCCAGTTATTGAGCTAACAGTTTGGAGATTGTTATTGTTCAACAATATTGTCCTCATTGTTCAACATAAGTTACCGATATTTGAAGCTGGTTATGAACGAAGATACTGATTTTCTTACATCTGTCCGTTAAAAAACATCGTTGTAGAAAATGCAAATCCATAGGTCACAAAGATGGATTTTGTCAAAAGAGGAAGCGAAATCACTCCAGAAATACCAAAAAGCCTGTGTTCCAGATCGTGTACAGACTTACTGAACCTATTAGCATCCTGTCAGAAAATTTTCTTACCCTTTAATATTAATGGGCAACCGTCTAGATTGCCAATTGACGCTATATCAGACATAAATATTCCCTCACGAAAATTTTGTATCAAAATCGGCAGCCCACGCACGGTGCCGACAATAAAAAAACCTTGCACTGCATGTGGTAATCATCCACGTTTGTTGGGACAACTAGATTTATAAAGTGTCTTTCCGTGATTCGACGTTCACTGGGGTATGTTATATAACGCCAGCTGTTCTAAATTTACTTGGTTTAGATTGGTCCGACCAGCTGCATTTAGGTGACGTCGCGTTAAGTACCGTATGCCATTCGGTAAGACAACTTCGTGAGCCTGAAGCATTTACGATGAAGTTTTCGACCATTTTCCAGACTGTTGGGTTGGTCCTCTAATATGAAAGTAACCCTTCGGTTGAAGCCTGTGGCTAAATATGTTTTCTACCCAGAGACAAGTGTCATAAGCAGAATGATCAAAAGTTGGTGAAGAACTCAATGGCTTTCAACTACAAGGAGTTATTATGCCTGCTTCTTATTCTGCTTGAGCAGTGTCTATTGTGGTTATCAGGAAGGCGAATGACACAAGAAGAATATGTGCAGATTTCTCAACAGACCTTAACGTAGATCTAGAACAGCATCATTACCCGCTACCAGTTTCTTTTCTTAAAAAGTCACACTCGGAGCCTTTGACCTAAAGATCTGATCCATAAGGCAGTGGGGCAACGTTAGAAGATGCAGTGCCATAATTCACACGCCATTTTTCCCTCGGGATACTGGGGCCCATGTGCACCATTGGTTCGGAATCACGGTTTTAAAACTACCCTAGGTGGACTCTCCGTGTTGACCAAACTGGTTAAAGTGCCGGACATTCGCTTATCGTCTTCTCGACTTGGTAAACAACACCCTAGCTTTAAAAAATGCTTTAAGTTTTCTTTATATATTTTTCCTCTTACATAGTCATGACATGGTATTAATTTTAGACACATTCCTTTTCGAAGTATTTTTGTAGCAAATTAATGTAGCTTGAAAAAAGATAAATTATAAAGTGAGTAACTAACCTTTCTTCTTTCTGAGGTAATATCTGAGTCATTTCGGTTTCTGTTAAAAAATCTGTAGTCAATTCAACTTGTTCTAATACAACATTCAATTGTTTGATGTTTACCAATTGAGTAGAATTATTGATTATTTCGGTGCTGAAATGTGCAGAAGGCTGAAATATAAAAAAATCATATTAGTATTGTGAAAAAAACTACCATAACTTCCCTTGTTAAATACAATACACAAACTGAAAAATTGATCTAAATATTAACCAAATAATATGCATAACGTAGTTTGTAATTGATATGTTTGAGCTAATTCAATTTTCTCAGTAAACGAACGAAGGTCAATGACACAGTAGGCTAATCTAATCCGTTGTCCCAGGCCCCGCTAACTAGAGGAAGAAATCCAAGGCGAAATAGGGGAATATAAATTCCGTAAGCAGCCGAGTACAAGCAAATCATAAGGGGAAAGTGTTGTATCCTCTGGCGAATTATGAATCATAAATCTGATGTCCATTTATGGACAAATGTAATACGCCTATTCCTATTGGATAGTTGTTAAATGAGTAACCTAAATCTGATGTCTATTTATGGACAAATACAATATGCCCATTCCCTATTGGATAGTTGTTAAATAAGTGACCTAATCGTTTCCGTGTTCCTCTTATCACAACCTTTGTTTTGACCTTGGAACTATTATTATTGATTACTTTCCCCCTAGCTACAGCCACATTGGCCAATTACTGTACAAATGTTATTTTTCTATTTTTTGGTATAATTGGGTCTGTTTGGTTAGTATATATAACCCAGTGTGCTTGTGAATAATGATTCATATTTCCGAGGCTGTTATTTGTGTTCTGGACTCAACTGGCTGGGCTAGGCAGTTAGGAAGGACCGAATAGCAATCAAGACTGCTCGTACGTATTTTCTGTATCATTGCACGTTTCATATACAATAACGATTGTTATACGAGTCATAACAATTGGCGACGGGGATTCTGGAAAAAAATACAGCAGCCGCTGACGTCATTTCGGAATTAAATAATCCATAATAATTGCCGGTGTTTTTTTTGGGATTTATTATTATTATTTACATTTAAAAAAATGGCCTTAACTTCCGACCAATTTCAGTTGCTAATCCAGCGACAAGAGCAGCGCTTCATAAAGAGTCAATTGGATTTCATTGACAAATTACACGCGAAGCTGCTGAATCACCCATGCTTTGGGAGTGAAACGGAAGTTGACGCAATAATTTCAAAATTGCGTACAGAGCTGGAAAACAGTTACAGAACTAATGAATATGCCGGCGAAAGCCTCAATGAATCCATACAAAGCAATAATTTAAGCGCAGCAGTTATACATGATCAGCCCAGTAACCCAGTACTACCTGTTTCAGAGACATGCCCTGTACACGGTCCAAGTCTTATTAATCCCGAAAACGGACGTGCAAACAATGAATTATCCTATTCACAGAAAGTAAATGTCTTGCAAAATGCTCATGAAATTGCTGCAGTACCCGCCCACGAAGAAACGGGAGACAAATCGAGCAGTATATGGAATACAGTGGCACCAAATGAAATTAATCATGATACGGAAAATGTTTCTAATGAATCTAATGATCAAAATTCTGTAATTGTTCTACCAGATTTAGATTATTTTGATGGTTCATATGTTTCTGTTGAATTCTCTTATAAAAATGAGAGAAAAATGTCAGATGTATTTAATGATAATCAAGAATCTAATACAACTCTCATAGATACTGATTATCCTAATGATTCATTATCTACTAATGAGGTTCCGAGGAAATTCAAGGAAACTATTTCAGAAGAATCAAATGTTGGTGACCTCGAATCAAATGTCGTCGATCCTCATGATCTCTTCAGTTCTAATGCATTCCCTGTTAAAGGTGACAAACATATCGCATTAATAGTAACTTGGCTATATGAGGATCCAACAGTCTTTCGTGGGGGAGGGTGAATTCGAGGAAATTAAAAATCCGGATATCAACTCCGGATTTCTCAAAAAGGGGAGGTGTTGTATCCCCTGGCGAATTATGAATCATAAATCTGATGTCCATTTATGGACAAATGTAATACGCCTATTCCTATTGGATAGTTGTTAAATGAGTAACCTAAATCTGATGTCTATTTATGGACAAATACAATATGCCCATTCCCTATTGGATAGTTGTTAAATAAGTGACCTAATCGTTTCCGTGTTCCTCTTATCACAACCTTTGTTTTGACCTTGGAACTATTATTATTGATTACTTTCCCCCTAGCTACAGCCACATTGGCCAATTACTGTACAAATGTTATTTTTCTATTTTTTGGTATAATTGGGTCTGTTTGGTTAGTATATATAACCCAGTGTGCTTGTGAATAATGATTCATATTTCCGAGGCTGTTATTTGTGTTCTGGACTCAACTGGCTGGGCTAGGCAGTTAGGAAGGACCGAATAGCAATCAAGACTGCTCGTACGTATTTTCTGTATCATTGCACGTTTCATATACAATAACGATTGTTATACGAGTCATAACAGAAAGACTCAAACGTATATATATACAGTGATAAATTGTCCATAGGCAGCATTACAAAATAGCACACTCAAAGATACAACGGACCAATAGCATTTAGGATATTTTACAAGTGGGAAATACGACGAAATACGGTGAAAAGAGCGCCTTTGGCGAGAAAACAAGGGAATTCAAATTTTCAAAATGAAATTACAAAATTAAGCTATTTACCAAGTAAGGATTTGACATCCCCATCAGTAATTCACAATTATAAGAAAAATCATTGTGACTTATCCTGTGTTTGATCATTGATGTATCCAACACAAAGACATAACATGGAAACTATATCATGATATTTTCACAAAGACATTGAAAACACACAGAAGCCCATTTAATATATAAGGCAGAATCAACAAACGGACTAAAGTCAGTCAGTCAGCTACAACGTAGAACCAGGCACACATATGCATCGGTCCAACTTTCCATACCGCATTAGCACAACAAGATGAACGCCCAATTCATAGAATTTGTTAATTTAGTGGTGGTAATATATAAAAGAAAGACTTTATATAAGGATATAGTACAGGAAAAAGATAGATATGAAGCAATTTAAATCTCAAGGTTTAAGGGAAGATAAAGAAATGGACTAAAAATACCTTGCAGTGAAATTATTTAAGAATAATGATTGTAAATGTATGAGGAATACCATTCGTTAGTTAGTTAGACAAGATGGAAATCTGTTCTTCACATAGCCTAATCCTATACCAGACAAAATCGATCGTCAAGACCGAAGGTGGCAGGGCATATATATGGAAAGTTTTTGATGAGTTAGCTCCGCACTTTTCAAGGTATTAATGCCTGAGACGGAAATCCGTGGGGTAAGTTGTGACGTTTTTTAACCGCTTACATCCGTTGTGAGAAGGCAACACCACTCAAGATGTTGGTTGTCTGAGAGAAGCATCTAACTACTGTCACATTCCTCTACAGTCAGAAGTACAAATTCATCCTCGTACCTTAAGTTAGTGCTTTGGGTTTAAACGTTTTCCAGTTGATCTATCTGAAATGGTAGGGCATAAAGAAACGAGTGTTCCAGTCAATACAGCTTGGCTGAGTTATTACGATAGGCAAGCCCGACCACCAGGTAAAGTTAGCAGCTATTCTAGGAGATGTAGCTTATTACATGAACTTCAGAAAAATTTCATTGTATAGACTAGCATACATATTATTGTATATGTAAATCAAATGATCAGTAGGTAAAAATAACTAGAATTATTATTTGATCCGTAACTTACTATTACTACACTATCCACATTAGTTGAAATTCTGAAAATGTAAAAACAAATGAATAAATATGCAAATTCAAGTGCAATACATTAATATTTATAGTGAAAAGAGAACTGCAATACGCTCACATAGTTGTGATAACCACAGACAGATTAGTTAAACCAATATAGAGTCTAAAATACCAGCCCCAATAACTATCAGGCTCATAATAAAGACTGGTGAAATACAAACACAAGGAAATCAAGCTGGCTTCAGACCTGGTCGCGGCTCCATCGACTAAATATTCACCATTTGTCAAATTTGGGAACCCAGACATGTTTGTCGGCGTCCGATAACGGTAGTCTTTCTTAACTTAAAAGCTGCATTTGACTCTATAGACCGAGAGGTTCTATGGCGGTGTCTATCATTGAAAGGCATACATCGGAAGCACATAAACCTTATGAAGGTTTTTTACTCAAGCCAGAGCTTACGGTAAGCTATCATCTGATTTCTCAACCTCAAGTGGTGTCCGGCAAGACTGTCCACTACTTCCACTTTTGTTTCATTTCACCATGAACCTACTGCTGGAAACAATGTTCACATCATCTGAATTTTCAGGAATTGATCTCCTACTGTGGTGTGGGTTACTTATATTCACACAAGTAGTTTATAACGGTGGTCGGGCATTGAATGTATTTCAGCAGAAGATCGATAAGGAAAGAACGGAAACGAAACGCAATTGGTATGAAAAGGCATGAACAATAATAATCTGAAACTATGGACTGATATTTGCAGAAGGAATCGTCAAGATTGAGACAACTAATTGGTAGTTTGCAAATCAATTGTTTACTGTATGGTTGTCAGATTTTACTGAGATAGTCGGTAATTTTCGTGTCACATACATTCGATTGTCCCCACCCGTGATCTTGTTCACTACACTACCAAGAGGTCCATATGTCTTAGAATGCGCAAATAAGATAGTGCTGTTTGGTGAAGACTGATAAATTCCAGAGTCTTTTGGTAACACTAAGTAACAATGCCAGGATGTTCGAAATGCATTTCTCCCCCTCTAAATGCAAGTTGTTGCTTCAGGACTGGTCTGCGTCAACATCTGAACTAAGGATAGGAAATAAAATAGTCGAACACATCGACAGCTCCACTTATAATGGAAGTCCGATCATCCCTAATGAGTTGGTATCTGACAAAATCTCTGCACATATTTAAAAAGTTCGTTTGGCTTTTGCCAACTTATGTCACCTATGGTGAAGGTGAGATATTTGTCTATCAATTAAAGTACAAGTATACTGAGCAGCAGTTCATTTTGTTTAATTTCACCACTGCGAAACTTGGCCATTAAGAGTAGAAGATACTCGTAAGTGAGATTAAAACTACTTTATACCTACCTTTCTACGAACTAATTCTTTCTTCCTTATGTGCAATCTTTTCTATATATCACAAGAGGGGTTTCTATATATTACTACCACTGAATTTGATGTTCATGTTGTTGTGCTGATGAGGTATGGCAATCTGGACAGATGCATATATGTGCCTGGTCCTATGTTGTAGCTGACTGACGTCACCTATGCAAACAACTATCAGTGGACAAGTTTACTTCCAATTACATCCAAACTAATGGCTTTTATTCAACTTGTCAGACTCCTAGAAACCCGTGACAGATTGACTAGTGAGGAATAGGCTGATTTTTGTCCTTGTTGGCGGATGTATTGACTACTTCTTCACCATCCGCTAACTGTTGGAATATCGATATACTTATTCCACACCAACAATCTCTGTTTTTCTTGGCACCGGGACAGCCTTTGATTTATTGAGTGGGACTATACTGTCGAAATGTCTGTTGAAGAAGATTGTGCCTGAGAATTTTTCAACATTTTGAAGGCTCTGTAAACGAACACAGGAGACTTTAATCCATTCGAGCAGTGGAGTTAAGCAGAATTGCTCAATATCAATATTCTTTATTAATCAGTCAAAAGTTTGTGTATATGGGTAGTTGTGTGAGTGCTGATGGTGGCATGAGTGATGAGATCAAATTTCATATGTGAACGCTAGAGCTTCCTATACCAAACATCAAGATGCTAATCCGCATGTACAAGGTTGAGTCCACAATGCGTCAGTTAGAGAAATCTCGCTGCTTTTTTGTGAGACTCCATCTCTTCGAGTTGACGACGTTACTCAACTCTGTGTTTGACTATCGTTTACTCCGAATGACTGCTGACACTCAATGACAACCCCATATTAGTAATCCTAAAATTCGGCAACGCACGTCAGTTTTTAGCGACGATAACTGAATTAGTGTCACCAATTCGAGACATCAGCTTTAGTGGTTTGAACATGTCACAAACACTTTCGGGGCGACTCCCATATTGTGTACTGTTTGTTGACTCTGGGGTTGGGTGGAAAAAGTGAAAGTAGTCAGTTTATGACATAGGGACGTAGCATGAAAGAGAGCTATATACAGTCGACAGCTGTTGATTTATTACAAATCCCAGGTTGAGCTCCTGAATCCGGTCTCACTAGGTGGCTTGAGACGCAATCAGACATGATTTGGAATAGAATTCGTTAACTTGCTTTATAAAAGTGAGAGGAATTTCTTTAGTGGAAATAATTTTTAATGACCTTGTTGTTAGTCAAATCATAAGTTTCGTTATACAGCATTTTTGTTCGTCTACGTTTGAGTCTTTCTTTTCGACTGCTCACCGTTTATCCACTTTTTTTGTTCATAATTTCTCCTCTGTATTTAAGTGGAGCATTCTTTTTTCGGCGCTACGTTGTACCAGGTCTCATGTGTTCAAATGAATCGACCAAATCCAGCACACTACCTCGAACCTCAGCATCATTTACTCCAACGTTTTGACTATACACAAAATACACTATAGAATTAGACTACTAAACTAGATCACGATCAAAGATTGAAATAAAACAACAGCCAACAAAGAGTGAAGTCCAATTGAAAAACATGAGTTAATTAATATTTCAAATATAACGATAGTCTACATATTTCTAATTAGGGTAGGGCAAATGTCTTTGCTCAATAACCAATCAGACCTCACAGTAAATGAACAAAAATGCTGTCCCCATTTGAAGATACAGTGAATGTGAGTCGTAGTCGACTCACGTCTACAAATTTACTCCTGAGGGAATTTCAAGAACACGGGTACTATTTCACACACTAACATTCCCAATCCTTAAACAAGTTGATTCATACAATAGTTTTCATTACACTAGCATTCAAGCAGATACAAGACTTTCATAAAAAGAAAACTTACGGATTGACTGAGTCCATAGGTATATCAGACGACTGTGAAACTGTGCATACATCAGCGCTTCCTTGAGCAAGCGTTTCCACATTAGTCAAATCCTTTGAGCTTGAAAAAATAAATTGGAAGGAAGTAAGTGAATCCCAACATAATAAAAAAAGTGAGATGATAATCTCTCAGATACTTTGCGATGTGTCATAGAAGCTGAGATACACTAAACCCAATGCAGTAGTGCTGCATATCAATTATTGTATCTCAACACTATACATGCACTTCGGATCATCATAGAGTTGAAAACAATAGTAAATCACAACATAAGTCTATAAACTGCATTAAGATGGGCTTTAGACAAATTTTATACAGTACTATATTTTGTCACTGAAAATTTAAGATGATATCAACTTATTCATTTAAACACATAAACATTGATGGAAGGAAGGATCAAATAGATAAGAGCCACATAAATTACTCGATTTGTGTGAGGGCTGGGATACTGTTCAGGTGCATAAACCAGGTGATTTTCTTAGGAGGCTATACCCGTAGCTTTTGACCTAAAAGTCTAATCCATAGGGCAGTGAAGCAACGTTAGGAGATGAAGTCCACGGTAGCCGGTGAGCAACAATTAATTTATACGCCATCAGGATACTGGAGCCCATGTGAACCATTGGTTTGGAATCAGGATTTTCCGACTTCCCTGTTTACACATGCTTAATTTGGGTGGAGTTTTTTTCCACTGAACTTAGAAAACAAAACTTTAATTAAATCATCCACCTGAGCAACAAATCTTCACTACACATGTTTAAACTATGCAATCATGACAATCCTTAGTTCACAGTTGCCTGTGATAACAAATTCAGATTATCTGTGATTGCCATGAGTGTAAGACTGTTTTTCCCTACACACACTGCAAGTTGAACTGAAGGTCCTACATTCGACCCTTGATGGGGTGGTGAATGTGCATTGCTAAGAAGTCCTATACTCAGATAAAAGAGCTGTTTGGTGCATTCTAGTTTCCGATCACTACGTAATTAAGATCAGTCAGTGATGTAAACTATGAAAATTCAACCATCACCGCAACACCCATCCTTATGCTAAGAATATAAATTTTGCATTTGATTATATCAAATGCGATGTGAATTAGTTTCAACCTTACCATCGTCATAAACCTTATCATTCAAAAAGTAACGGTTTTTACTCAGGAACAATGAGGTAAAAGTGTTAGGAAATTAGGTTTGGAAACAAACGCTTTACCTTAAAATAATCAAAGATGATGACAATGGCTATTGAGATAGTCGTTATCTTTACGGAAAATAATACTGACAAGATAGAACTAAGATGAGGAAATTACAGTTATCGGTACAGTGATTAGCACAATCGGTTTTCAGCTAGCGAATTACATCTTCAAATTTATTTCACCTGCGTACGTTTGACCAGATAGCCGATTAACTTTGTTAAGTTCAGTGCAAACGTCTAGCTCGTTACCAAATATGAAAAATTTATCGAATACATTCGAACGTAATAAGTGTTATTAAGTAAAATATTTCGATCGAAACTTACGGGTTCACTGTTTCTGTAAATACGGGAACAAACTGATTTGATACGGAATCGAATATTACATTGTTTTCTTGTATTGTTGTTATGGGCCTTGAAAAAAAATGTTTTAGAAAGCAAATGACATAGATTCAAACGCATTGGTAGTACACTACATAAAAAACGCAATTCCCAGTTAAATCATTTTCGTTGTCGCAGAAATCGAGACTGTGTTTACAAATTAATTGTCACTTTACACACCTCACATAATATCCGAATGATCGAATAAGAATAGATTTTATGGACAAACCAACACTCCACAACTATATATACGGGATACTATTACGTCCCGAACGGTTCTATTTAAATAATACATTTGCCCAGTAATACTTGTCATTATGCTGGTGCCATTCTGGACTGATATCGCGTTTGAATCAAAAGAATGTCTTATTTAATTGCTTATTTAAACACAAACATTGGTACAAAGGGGCACCAAAATATATATGGGCCATAAAAAGTGAGGGGTGTGATACTTCCTGGTTGCCCAAACAGAAGCAGGTGGTTTTCTAGAAAGGCCCTTCTAGAATCAATGAACAAGAAGTCTAATCCGCAAAACAGTGGAGCAACGTTGAAAGATGCGGTTCTATGGTAGCCGGTGCCCAATAATAGATTATTATAGCATTCGTTATGGATCTTTATAGACTGATGGTGAGGGTAAGTATTACGCATGCCCAACCACCGATTACCACGACGAGCAATACTGACTATTCCTGTAGGCAGTTGGAAGAAGGTTAAGAGAGGCCAAACCAAAACGCGGCATCAGTCCTTCAAGTCAACAATTTCTAATCAGAGCCATGTTGACAGATCCAGACTAATTAGTTGGGGTCCATGTGACTATCATAACCAATGATTAGAGACTTTGGTTGACATAACTCAGAATCGATCATAATGGTGTACATGTATACACTCTTTGTCTTTCCTTAAACAGTGAGATTAAAATCACTTTTACCTTTATTTCTATGAATTAATTCTTTCTCCCTGTATTATATCCTTATACACAATCTTTCTTTTATATATTACTACCATTGAAGTAACTACTTCAATGAGTTTGGTGTTGATCTTGTTGTGCTGATGAGGTATGACAATCTGGACCGATACATATATATGCCTGATCCCACGTTGTAGCTAACTGACTGATAATGCAAAAAGGAGAAGATTATAGGGAAATGATCGTTTATGAAGCCACTAATTCCCTAACTTAGGTAAGAAAAACCAAAATGTACTACAAATAAAATTTATGCTTTTCTATAGTATATTAGGTTCAATGGCCCCCAAATGCCCTGGTACGGTCGAGAGTGGGAAGAGTCCGCTCTCCCATGGACACGCGAATATATAGCCTCTGCCAGGGAAGTCCTACTCACTGCCTTCTCACAGCGGCGGGGGTGTTTTTTACGAAACTGAGAGGACGGAAAGCGAATGTCCGGCGCTTCAACCGGGTTGGTGGACACTGAAAGTCCACCTAGGGGAGTTGGAAAACCCTGATTCTAAACCAATGGTGCACATGGGCTGGCTCCAGTATCCTGAAGGAACAAATGGCGTATGAACCAAGCGTTGGTCACCGGCTACCATGGGAATGCATCTCCTTAAGATGCTCCACTGCCTTGTGAACTAGACCTTCAGGTCAAGGCTCGGGGTGTGGCCCCCTAAGAAAATCACCTGCCTCAGTCTGGGCACCTGGGCAGTATCACAGCCCTCACACAAATCAAATGAGATTTGTGAGGTGCATATTTATCTGGTGCTTGCTTGTACCAATATTTATGTGTTTAAATAAATAAATAATAAATAGTGCAATATAGGTAAGTACAGAAGGTGGTTCGTTTTGTAACCATGAATCATTTGATGGATAATAAACATACTAAACATGCACATCACATACACAGGTAGTTTTATACTAGGATTTTTGTCACGAATTGAATTTGATCAAGCTCAACGAAATTAGACTGCTAATTTAACAAGAAACAAAATTAGGACAAGTGAACCCGGAAAATGTATTCAGTGAAATGAAAACAAACCTTTGAGTTTTATCTGAATAACATGATCTCTCTACTACAGAGTATTCGGTAACTTCAGCTTTATTTTCGTACACCAAATGTTTAGAAATGTATCTCTTTTCATTTGGAATCTCAATGGGAATTAAATCTACTGGTTGAGTGGTATGATCACCACGGTTTGTCGACTCAAAGATAAACTCCGGCAACAAATCTTCTTCAAAAGAAAAACGAGCACCAGTTGTCTATAATAGGATAGAAGACATGTAAAAGTAGTCACAAATACTTGTTTCGACATGGGTACTGATAAGCTTAAATAGGGTCGGTATCCTTAAAAATAACATGTAGTAAGTATGTGAAGTTTGAATATCTTGAGTAGAACACGTAACAAAGCTACCTCATCAATGAATGTCCATACATAATTCGCTTATATAAACCAAAATATGATTGTCATATTTACATGGATCCAATCTTTTGTTTTTTCTGACATTCCTTCGGTAATTTCGTTTTTTAATAAATTATCATTTTGAACTGAGACATGTTACTGATCATTTAGTTTGCTGGATTTCCAGGTTGTTCTAATCAGACTTACACAACAGAGATACAGCTTTAGATGGTACAAATGTCAACTGCTGGGTCAGGCATGGTATGGATCTAGTCAGTGAAGCAATATTTAGGATAGATGTTTCTTAGCCGTTACTCTGTCTTTGTTGTCACGAATCATGAGGGTAATGAAAATCTAACGAAAAGATGAAGGTAGGGAGACATACATTTCATAAAAAGTCAGTAATATGAATCGTAACTCCTTAGAGTATCCTTTCTCTCTTCCCAAATTTATTTCACTGTATTATACTCCTTTAATAACATCTTCAACACTTAATCTTTCACATAATGCTTATACTATTACTACTTCTACCATTATGTGATTTGAATCGACAACTGCATCTCTGTGCTAATGTGGTATGGCAGCTCGAACAGATGTACGTACGTACGAAGTTTTACGCTGTGACTAACTGACTGAGAGTAATAGAAATAAAGGTGACTCGAGTAATTATGCACCAGACATTGATTCAAATGTTAACTTTAACTGCCATGGCTAACGTAAGTCATTAAGCCTTCTGTTTATGCCAAACTGAACATTTAGTGTTTATTGCATCAAAAGTATATTTAGCCAACTTGGATTATTTCGGTTTGAGATTCTCTTCAAATTCGTCTTGAGGTATGCTAGTTTTGACTAGTTTTTGTGCCTCCTGGGATCTTGTGTATTTTTGTCGTTTTTTTTTAATCGGACAGTTTATACAATTCTATTGTCTGAGGTTATTAATCACTGAGCAAATGTTTTGTAAGTTTTTTAATAACGGTTTGCTATTTTCATACGTGTGGACAGCCCAATAGTTTCTTGTTAAGGAAGAGATGTAGTGTGGTGGATGTAACAAATGGTTTCGTAGATGTGCACTTGTCTAAAATACACTGAGTATAAAGGATTTTCGAACACTAACTCCTATCGGCTTTGTACAGACACACTTAGAAAACACCGAGGCATTCATTTGTAGCATTTTGCCAAGCGTTTCTACAGTAGTTCAGATAAAAAAGATTGATAAAACTTAGCAAGAGGGTTGAAGTAAATAATGAACCTTGACTGTGCAGACTCTTGAAGGTGATCCTCGGGTCGGTGGTATAAAGAAATATTCAGTTAACTAGCAACCGAATTCAAGATAAAACTAACAATCGAGTAAGGTGTGACATTTTTATGAAGGATAGGTTAAAAAGGCGGGTCTAGGTGAACTAGAAACCTGTTGGCGAAATGATGAAAACTTTTATACGGTGGTTTCAAGTAAATTGAGCATTGGGCAGCAAGCTAATGAAAAATATATTTGGGGGGGGGGCTATATCAATGAGTAGAAAAATCGTATTTCTGACGTCTCTTGACTTAATATAAGCCACGTTTCATTTACTCTGAAGAAGTCAATCAATCAGTAACAACGTAGAACTTCGTACGTAAGCATCAGTCGAAGTTGTCAAACTACATTAGTACGGAGATACAATTGTCGATTCAAGCCCAACAGTAGTGGAGGTAGTAAGAGCATAAGCCGTAACCGGAAAAATTACCCTTTGAAGATCTTATTCAGGGAGTATAATTCAGTGAAATAAATCTGGAAAGAGAAAAAAAGAGATATGAGGAATTCAGAAGACTAGAATTTGGGAGGACACAAAGAGTGGATGCAACTGCGTCATTCCAAACGAGTTTGAGCCATGTCAGTCAAGGTCTCCAACCTTCGGTTGCTATCGTCTTGCAAATACCAATCAGATAGTCTACACCTACCAACATGGCTCAGTCAACTTGTCAGTAACTCAATAGATTTGTGCCACGTTTTGGTCTGGCCGCCACTAGCTTTCTTCCAACCTACTCCTATACCATGAAACATCGCTCATCAGGACAGTCGGTGGTTGGGCATACGTAATGCGTGTTCCAGAAATCTCAACTGATGGAGTTTTACTACTTCGTAAATCCATTTGCCATCCTTACCTAGTATATGTTTCCTAACAATTGCATTACTTGCTCGGTGGTCCCAGGATATACGAGCAGTGTTTCGAAGACACATATGATCGAATACTAGAAACCTACAAATCTCCTCTAATCTGACCGGCCATGTTTCAGAACCATAAAGTAGGACGGAACGAACTGCGCAGTAAACCCGTCCTTTGGTTAGTAAACGGATATCTCGTCGACGCAATAAATGACGCAAGTTGGCGAAAGCTAGACGAGCCTTCTGTATCCGTGTTGAGATTTCGTCGCACACCATGCCACAAGAGCTAACGGAACTCCCAAGATAAGTGAAGCGGTCGACACGCACAACTGCTTTACTCCATATCATTAATTCATCTGTCGACGCAACATTTTGCATTTCGAAGGGGAGAATCGCATCCCAAACATACTTGCATTGTTGCTTATGGTGGTCAGGAGACTGCATTTTGTCAGAGTCTTTACCAAATAGAACTATGTCATTGGCATATTCTAAGTCAACAAGTGAATCTCCAGGTAAAAGTCCAACTCCTGGAAATGTAGATGAGGAAAGTTATCTCTAAAATTATGTCAACGACAAGGCTAAACAAGAATGGAGAAGGTGGACGGCCCTGACGAACACCACTTCAGGTAATCAATTTTGATGACAATTCGCCGTTAGCTCTAACGACCAGTTGTGTTCGAGTAGAGAGCCTGTATAGGGTTAATGCACTCTTTCGGTACTCCTTTCTGTGACAAAGATTGCCATAGAACCTCACAACCAGCGAAGTCAAATGCCGCCTTGAGGTCAAGAACTACTATTATTGTGGGACCTCTGAGTGTGTGTATAAGTTCTAGGATTTGAAGTAGTGTGAATATTTGGTCTGTACAGATACGTCCAGGTCGGAAACCAACTTGTTTTTCTCTAGTCTGCTTTACACGAGTTTTAGTTAGATGTCGAGGTATTATTGAAGCCAATATTTTAGACACTATATTAGTCAAACTGATTCCTCTGTGATTGTCACAAGAGGACTTTCGTCCTTTCTTATAGACTGGCACAATCAGTGATTGAGATCAGCCACATGAGATTACGTCTAGTGCTTAGATTCTACCTAAGACCTCAGATAATCTTACTGCTAATATTGGACAGAAGACAGTGAGTTGGACTTTCCTAGCAGTATCTGTATATGCGCGGACATGTGAGGGCATTTTGAGGGGGAAGGCTGGCTTTTTCCACTCTCAGTCGTACCATGGCATTTGAGGGCTACAAGTACCTGTTGATGTATTTAAGGCGAATAAGGTTTTTACAGTACTACGAACCGCAATGGTCAATATAGGTTGCTTGACCTCTTATCCTTAATACTGGAAATTGACTTCGAAACAAGGATTCGAAATGTAAGCATTCTATGGGCCTGAATATTTAAATGAGACGTTCTAACATGAACAAAAACAAATATGGTGGGGATTATGAACAGCATACCTCGACCGAAGGGTCCTCCACTAAAGTTATGTCTTCATTTCGCGCTTGATACAGAGTTTGTGTGTCCATGAAATCCAGACAAGGTTCATTGATACTAGGCCAAAACAAATCAGGCAACTGAAGATTCCCAAAATCATTTGCTTCGTTGTACAAATCCCACAGAGGTACTTCAGGATCATCAATCGGTACGCTAGTTTTACGCTTTGTACGAGATATAGTACTGTACACATAAAACAATGAGCTCGTTAAAAATTTAGAACAAAATTTTGTGTAAAACAAACAAACGAACTAACAAACATGAACAAAGATTTTACCAAATGGGTAGGTCAATGGACCGGCTTGTAGTTGCAGAAGCTTTCTGACTAAGCTCTTGCAAGTCACCTAGTGTTTATAAACAAATCGGAATATTTAATCAGCACGAAAAAGAACAGAAAAAGGTATCTAGTATGTCTAACTTACGTAGCATAACAACAGTCTTTTCTCTATAGATGATACAGATACCGAACGTCAACTGGGATGCCAAGTACAATGAGAGTCGAATTTGTGTCTCTCCTAGAATATATGAAGTTATTTCATTGCTAGCAAAAATAAAAGATGAGACTAGACATACCAAGCAGTAACAATATTGACAGAATTTAGTTCCTTTCTTGAAAGCTGTTTTCTTACCCTGGTAGCTGCCAGCCTTTAAAAAGTCAGTGATGTAAGAAATCAAACCATATAATCCCGAATTTCCCTCGATGAGCTGAAAGCAAATCGATGCTATAAAACATCTAAGATATATGTGACGTTCAACCTTTGGCAAGTATGTGTTTAGTCTGCAGGTTTATCAAGCGCGGAAATGTCTATGCGAATCTGAAACAGAGATGGATAAGCGTACTCATTAGGTGACGACTCCATAGACACAACATACATTCATGCTTAATGATGATATCATGACAAAAAAATTCCAGTCCTGACTTTTTTCTAAAGCTTACTCGTGTAATTCGTACCAGGGATTCTGTCTCAAGAAACAACCAGATTTCCCTAAGCTATCTCAACCGACCAGTAAGAATAGAGGAGATAACGGAAAGACCGGAAAAGTCTCCTTTTTGTCTGGTATGGTAAATATTGCAACATATACTTCTGTTGTCACTGTAGGTTTGAAATGCTACCAAGTTATTTTCTTCCCATCTTAACACACACCGAATTCTCCATTCCTTGTATTTGTACACGCACAACCTTATGCTTCGCTATGCATTGATTGCTTTGTTTGCTTCATTTAAGACTCATGTGGGAAGACGGATAAAGGGTCTACAGCTCCATGCAAAAGAATGTCATTTGAAGGCGTTTTAGCGAATGGACATAATAAACTAAACGTCTTAATTCGTAACACCATTCGTATTCGTTAGAAAAACCTACTCAGTTATTTTTTGCTGAATCTGCCATGTAAATTAGATAATACTTTAACGCGTTATCCATATATTCTGCTTCTAACTCCTTAATGATCCCTCCAATAAACCCCCCTGTGTTTGCCTTTACTTTTTCTTCTCCATTTAAAAAAAACACGATCGGGTAATGAAAGCTTCATAAGAGAATGACAGAAATAATAATACGGTGACTTAGTAAGGACATTAAATGCACTGACATATAGTTGGTAGACCGATTGATAGCAGTCGGCAGTACAGTGCAATTAAAACAATTCAACACTTACAACCAGAAGTGAGGCACGGCAAAAACGCTCCCTCAAGGTCGCCAGCCAGATATATTTTTGAAATTGAAGAACGCGGTTCGAGTACAAAAAGAGAAACTTATTACAATATAGTTTTATTCGTTGTTTTGTAGGTTCAGATCGCATAGGGCTTGTTCCTCTTCTTCGACTGCGTTTACTGTTTGTTGCCTTGCGATAAGAAAAACAAACTCAGGAAGTAGGGTTACTGAAACTAGGAATCATCTTTTTAATTTACAGGAGGTTGTTTAGTTGAAGCTTAGAGGCTAAAATACTTCACTCTATTTTTTCAGTTTCACTAGCCAGCCTTGCTGGGTTCGTCACAGACACTTGAGGCATGACACCAAAGTTATAGGGACATCTAAATATGCACATAAAATAACGTTAACGCTTTTCGTTAGAAAAGTTCAAATGCTTTAGGAACCTTACAGTTCTTCCGAAGGAATTTTTTATAGATCAGCTTTCTAGTATCGGCGTAGTTTCATCTTGGTTACTGACTATCGGATATTGCACCTCAGTCGTTGGAACTTTGTCGTCAGGTCGCTGAGTCAGAAAACCGATGAAGAAGAGGTTGCCTTCCAAGTAAGCTGCATATGTTATTTTTAGTGTCCTTCTTATCAGCAGTATAACTTCAGTGCATCCAGAGTCAGAGTTCACTCAATGAAAAAATTTGAGAAACAGGAGTTGAAATGTAATAGTCCACTTTGTGATATGATTTAATCTGTGAGTGAAGCCTTCGACTAACCCATTAGCTTGTAGTTGGTCGGCGATCCTTTTAAAATTTTTGACCCTCGGGATTGTGGTAAAACGACGGAAAAATCTGGATTCAAACTGGAGTGCAAGGTTTGTAATAATAAATAAAGGCAGCCGAAGTCTGATAACCATTGTTCAAAAAGGGTGGTGGCCACTCTCTTAGTGAAAATATCTTTGACAGGTATCGTTTATGGCTATCGTATGGGATGGTTTATACGCGTCAAGAGATAAAAGTAAATATTTTAATACGTCAAGGGTCTTGCCAAATGGAGATGAACATGGGAGAAGTGGGTATTAGAAGTCGCGAATGATCCTAGAAGACATTTACTACGTCTTATCATCTTAAGTTTCTAGCAACTTACATAGCAGCATACCTACTCTTACACGTCTTCGTTCATATCAGGTCAGAAAAATCCTTTTGTTATGAGCTCAAAGGTTGCTCAAACATCTGGGTAAGGTGTGTCCAACGTATTGAATGTATTCCGCCAATGTTTCCGAAAGACTGAATGACCCCTACTTGTAGATATATCACAAAGTAATGTCTCTGTGATTATTAGTAGTATTCGAATTATAGCATGAACTAGCAATTCCAGAAACAACGCAGTTCCATCAAGAAGTATTAGACGAACACGAACTAATGTATTGTGCTTGGAATTCAAAATCAACCAATCATCAATACAAAGGAATCGTTGGTTCATATAAACACCACAGTTTCCTTACCTATTTCCATCAGCTTGATTCGTAATTTCAGTGTTGTAAAAAAACTCGTGCTGAAGATCGTTGTTTTCCTCTTCAAGCTAAGGTAATGTTACTTTTCATCGATAAGAGTGAACCCAACAATAAAATATAAGTTCGTAAGGTTATGGTATAGGTTCGCCATAAGTATTGCCAAGGTGATAGACCTAATTCTAAAACTGTAGATTTGTTATGGTGTGACAACCTATTTCATAAGATCTTACGTGGCAGTCCATCCTGACTCGTCGCAACGTAAAAATCAGCAATACAACTTCTAGTGCTTTTGAAGAAAATATTTAGGCTAAAGATAGAATAATATATTTAGTGTGAGTAAAGACAAGTTGTACATGTGACCATGTCTGCTAGGCTGAGCCCTATCATCCGATTGTATTGAGTGAATGTCCCCACGTTCTCCGCAGTTAACCTTCTCTATGTGTCAATTGTTGAATATAAATCTTTTCAGCTTCAAAAATCGTGTGGTTAGAGTTCACTGACACTCGAAGTTCAACGTCCATCCTTAAGACTCATTTAAGCAAACTAGTCATCACTCTGATTCTTTCTATTATTCTACAAATCATGAGAGTGCACAATTTATGTGAACATGACCAACCGTTCTTAAGTCCCTGCTATTGTTCAGCGAAGACAGCCGTTTAGGGACGTAATCTCTGTCCATATTAATCAGATGATACGTTTAACTAGGTTGATTACCATAAGGACAGTCGTACTTTTCATAGTAGTTGTCAGGTCGTGGATGCTTGAGAAGAGGTAACAATAGGTCATAGTTACCACATTCATTCAACGATGATCGCCAGTTGGAAGCTAATCATTGCTATACGTTGAAGCGACGGCGTTCAAAAGGGAATGCGAATAGGTTGTGTAATCGCCGGAGAATTCCCAAGTCTATTATATGTTCTAATTCGTTTTTGACCAGTTTTAGTTTTTGGGAGCTAGTAGGCGCACTGTTGAAAACGCGTGTGATCCTGTAGCCGTCATATAATGTGAAATATTTCTGGTTTCGGTCGCGCCTTGTAAAGTCTGATGTACTCGTCGAGTGTTTGTTGAAGGTACTGATCGATTCTATACTTAGCCGTGACTAGGTATAACCTGCAACCAGAAAATGAAGTGCCATAAACACAATTTAGTATGCCGTCTACTAACCTCTGCCTGCTTGAAGTTGATGAGTAGATTGTGGTGTTTAAGCAGGTCATTACCAATGGCTGGTATGAGAAGGTTAGGAATGATGAAAATCCAGCAAACTGGTTTGCATTAACCACATTAAGGTATTATGGGACTTTTCAGCAGCGCGCATCCACGAACCCGCTCTCGCGAGATTCGAACCCAGGACCTACCAGTCTCGAGCCGAAGCCCTTAACCGATAGACCACCACCACATTAAGGTATACACACACTTTAACGATTGTAGAAGTCGTTCTTCCGTCTGCCACCTGTAAGTCACAGGACTCATCCTCTGAAAGATCATTAGTACTTGTGAAAAAATGCTTTTTACTGCTCCAATGTCCACAACGTGGCGAACTTTCGTTATTACATCAGTGATGTAAAGCACACGGTTAAGACCTCTAGTTACGGTTGTGTTAATGCTTGCCGGCAGAGCAGTTTTCGAAATCTTTATCGTGGAGAACGATTTGGAGTTTGAGAAACGTCGGAGTTTTATGAATTTTCCAGAGTTTTTACAGGTAATGTGGTACTAACGCCGATTGCAGTTATCTGTTTTTCGCTGTGTAGAAGTTGATATTTTTTCGTAACTGAATTTTTCGAGTTTCGTAGCATTTGTAGTTATTATGGATATTAAGATAACGAGTGTGACTATTAAAAAGACCCGCAATGTCACTTTGTGTCGTTTGAGTCTTTTGTTTGACAGTATGAACCTGGGTGCTGGTGGTTCTGGTGATCATCATGATCCATTTGGCAGATAAATCCAGTTAGTCTATAGCGTTATTTTCGGATAAAACCAGAATCCCTTGCGCCTGTTTCTGGTAAGCGCTTCTTAAGCAAGTTAGTTTTCTACGGTGAAGCTGAAATGTGAAAAGCTGTCGAAACAGGCCCTCTTCAAAGGTCCGTTAACCAATGACCTCTTGCATCCGTAATAAATGTTTTGCTACAAAGCCATGTCGCAGCTCAATGTTGTGGAAGAATTGTTCTAATCTTTACTGGTCGGCTAGGTCTCCACTTTTCGGTGTTACATTTTTTTAAGTTTCATAAGGTACTGAAACATCATAAGCAAATATACTAGATGTGACGTACCTGTTCAAATCTCGTGGTAGTGCCTTTACTGCCGAGAAAAATCGTGCAGGTGGGTCTATCACGCAGTGCTTTCGGTAGCTTGCTTCCGCATTGCAGAACCAGGCTTGCATGAGTTGAAAAGTGGGAGCATATTAGTCTTAGTTTTCAAATTTTTGGGTGCATGTTCTCATATGGTGATGAGAAAGTTTATATAAATATTCGGGGAAATTTGATGACAAAAATAATACCACTATATTTAAAAAATATGAACAGACTTAGAATTTACTGTTTGATGCACTAGATCACGTTGGGGCTCACCAACTCTACTTCGATTTCTGTTATATATGCTAATCTTGTTGAATACATTCTATATAATACAGAAGCCATAGTCGAACATACTCATGACCTTTAGTAGTTTACAGACACCTGCATCTGCATTTGAACTGTGGAATCTGTGGTATTTTGTGCTAGCTAGTAATTCTCTCGTACATTACTACTCATATAATTAAAATCTTGCTGAAAAACACTTTTATTGGTTTCTCGGTAAATTGTTCAAAGATTTATCTGCAACCACTAGAGTACGCAGTGGATCGTACTAGAATTGAAAATGTTGAATTCATGAGTTGGTCTAAGCTAGGCCACCACTGAAAAACTGGAAGCAGTGGACGGCCGTTTCGTCATAGTGTGGGACTCCTCAGGAGTGTGCGGATGTCATGGTTTCGCGTCTCGCGTGAGTGGTAGTGAGTGCTCCCAGGTTTTCGACGATTGTTTAGATGTGATCGACCCATGAATCCAAGTTTTAAAATTGCCACAATCTCCACACACCCTCATTCTGTCCCGGAATTCTCTAACAAATAGATCAGATCCTATTCTGATACCTCGTTAATCAGTATCCTTAGAAAATGCAGATATGTCATCTAAAGACTCTGAGCTGTGTATAAGTAGGATATAATAGGCGGTATGAACAATACTACTATAAAATACGCCTTGTTAAGAGAAGGTATATAGACTTTTACGAGACATTCAGTGTTGGTAGATTTTTCCGGAAGTTATTTCACGTACTGACTAATAAAAGACCTCATAATTTAAAGAATGATGAAGTTTGTAAAAAACGAGTGAGGGAAAGCGTGCAAATAATTTATCTAATGTATGATTTTCAAAATTTGAGAAGTCACTGTTTAATTTTGCATTTTCAATAAATTGTTTATTTGCACCATAGTAGTATTGTGGTGTAGTCTACTTATATCTATATAAGTAGTATATGGTGTGGGTCAGACATAGAATGTATTTTGGCAGAAGACCGATGAGGAATGAACTGAAATGAGGCGCAATCGTCTGGAAAATGCATGAGCAATGGAATAAGAGAAGAAACAGTGAAGATTGAAACAATTGGCTGTTAATTTGCAAAATTGACTGTTCATTGTTTGGTTATCAGAATTTACTGAGATAGTCTGTAATCTTTGCTTAAATACATTCGATTGTCCCCAACCGGTGTTTTGTTCACTACATTTGGTGTCGCCGCCAACGGGGAGGAGGAAGGGTGCTGTTCTGCGGATGCCGCTGCCGGTCTGGAGTAAAAGTGCTAGTTGGGGCAGTCTGGTGAGGAGAGTTGGTGTCGAGTGGAGTGTTCTGGCGGGGCGGCGTTGGCTGTAGCGGGTGCTGTCGACGGAGAGGAGCAGTGGGACGTGCAGCTGCTGGGCGGACATCGGATGTAGATGGCTCAGCAGGCCGATGGAGTACGGGTGTTGAACGTCCCAGGTGCCGGGTGGATGCGGATGTTGGTGCCCCGGCAGGTCGACGGAGCTATGGAGGTCAGCGCGCCGCAGACTCGACATTCTGACGGAGAGTTTGGCACAGACTGCAGTGAAAGAAGATAGTGGCATGGCGAGCAGAACCACCGCACGAACGAATGCTTTAAGGGGGGGACGAGTGTGGTGTAGTCTACTTATATCTATATAAGTAGTATATGGTGTGGGTCAGACATAGAATGTATTTTGGCAGAAGACCGATGAGGAATGAACTGAAATGAGGCGCAATCGTCTGGAAAATGCATGAGCAATGGAATAAGAGAAGAAACAGTGAAGATTGAAACAATTGGCTGTTAATTTGCAAATTGACTGTTCATTGTTTGGTTATCAGAATTTACTGAGATAGTCTGTAATCTTTGCTTAAATACATTCGATTGTCCCCAACTAGTGTTTTGTTCGCTACAGTATCACATGTAATATGTAAACTGTTAGATTCCTAGATCTATCCAATACCCACTCTGTTAGTCAGGACTACAGATATTGTACACAGTTTACATAACTAAATGTATTTTACTGAATTTAAAGTTGCGTGGTTAGGAATATGCAAAACAATTAGCAATTAATTTAAACAACATGATACCTCAAAAGAAACCAGAATTCAGAAATTCATGCACAACAACGGCTCTATAGTCATTCATCAACTGAAGCATGATACTACAGTTTAAACGCAATATATTTAATCCTTTACTTTACCAAGGTTCTTTAACTTTTCCTTGTCATTTTTGTTTTAGTCAAGCGTCTACTTAACCACCAGACATGAATTATTTTGCTTTTAACTTCTTTCACTATTTTTAAACTGTCATATAAATTCTGTTCACTGCTTAAATTCTTTGGTAAAGGTTTGATAACAGCAAATCTCTTATATTCTATCGAAGCTACTGAGCGAGAAAGATATATAGAAATATTTGTTTGGGTTTAATAAAAACAAAACCTTTTCTTTGCTAACTTCTCTTCATTTTGTTATCTGAAGTAATGGGTTGTTTTTTCATTGTATTTGATGAAAGGACTATTGTTGTTCATTCATGACAGTAATGGGAACATTTCTCCAATTCATTCTCATATTGGTTAAACTCAAAAGTGTCTGATTCTCTAATATTCTTCTTTAATCTATTAGTCTCAGAATATTTATTTATTTAAACACATGAATATTGGTACAAGGGAGCACCAGATATATATGCGTCACACAAATATCATTTGATTTGTGTCAGGGCTGTGATACTGCCCGAGTGCCCAAACTGAAGCAGGAGCGCCCAAACCAAAGCATACATCACAATAAGTATATATTGACCAATCCAATATATATACTTTTAATAGAGTTAGGTACTACTATTTGTTCCCTATTTAAAAATTATTTTTACCCACTGAAAAAAATGATTAAAGTATTATGAGATATTCGATATCTTTTAGCCTTATTTTTAAATACCTTAACAGGTGATAGTATAATACTTCACATCAGAAAAGGGTTTTTGTGGATATTATGGTAATTTAATAGTTGAGATCATGAGTAAGTTGAAGCTAGACCATCATGGAAAACGTGGAAGTACTGGAGGTTGAAATTAGACATTAACAGCAGTAGATACCAGCTCAGTGGTTTAGATGTTAGGCATTTGCGTGGGAGACCGATAGGTTCTGGGTTCGAGTCTCGCAGAATGGGATCGTGGGTGCGCACTACTGAGGATTCCCATACTAGGATGAAATGGTTATCCAGTGTTTCCAGGTTTTTTAATGGTGATCAAGCTTAGATCAACTTGTCATACCCTAGCGAAGACATAAGTATGGGTAACTTCTGGGACCTATTAATGGACTATTATTCTATATATATTCTTACTAGTTAATTATTGAGTCAATTTGTTATGGATTTAAAGAAAGAACAAGGTCGTATGCCGATTTGTTGTGGTTTTATATCCGGCTTTTATCTTTTGATTTATCCACCAATCGGAATACGACATGTCTAATCTTAACACTATGCTAAATCAATGACGTTCAACTGCTACAAGCAGTCTAGAGTTCTTATTGGTCCCTTGTCCTCCTAGCCCTTCCAGTTGAGCCCAGAACACAAATTGCAGCTTCTGCTATGCGAATAATTTATTTCAAGCATACTCGGTTTATATAACAGACAGATAGACTGCATCACACCATAAAATAGAAAATAATATTTGTACAAGATCAAGTCAAATGTGGCTGTGAACATGGGATACAGTAATCAATAAACTGAACATAATTTGGGAACAGTAAATCGTATAATAATAATCCGTAGGTCAAAATGAAGCTTATAATAAGATGAATATAGATATACACAATCTAGTTACTCAATAGTTAGACCACAAGAATATACATAGAATAACCGTCCATTAGTAGGTCCCAGACGTTACCCATACTTATGTCTTCGCTAGGATATAACACAACTCATGAATTCAACTATTAAAATATGATATTTATTGCAGATATGTTAGATATATATAATACATTATCTAACTAAACATGTGATTGTCAAATGTATTACTTTAATTCTATTAGTTAACTTGTGTTCACTTATGAGTTTAATGAGAATGTCTTGTGAATAAATCTTCCCAATATTCCATTATCTGGTTGTTTGTAAATCTATCTATTCGTTAATCATGTCAGTCAGTCAGTTGCAACGTAGGATCAGGTACATATAAGTATCTGTCCAGATTGTTATACCTCATCAGCACAACAAGATCAACACCAAACTCATTGAAGTAGTTACTTCAATGGTAGTAATATATAAAAGAAAGATTGTGTATATGAATATAGTACAGGGAGAAAGAATTAGTTCATAGAAATAAAGGTAAAAGTAATTTTAATTTCACTGTTTAAGTAAGAGAATGAGTGTATACACGTACACCATTGTGATCGATTCTGAGTTATGTCAACCAGAGTCTCTAATCATTGGTTATGATAGTCACATGGACCCCAACTAATTAGTCTGGATCTGTCAACATGGCTCTGATTAGAAATTGTTGACTTGAAGGACTGATGCCGCGTTTTGGTTTGGCCTCTCTTAACCTTCTTCTAACCGTCTCGAATACTTGTCAACATTGCGCATCTTGGTAAACAGTGTTCAGGCATACCATATTGATCGATAAATACTAGAGATACGCTGACCAGTTGACATTCTGGATAGTTTTTCGGTCATCAATTATAACGATAAATATCATAAACAACTACTCAGGTGATCAAGTCAAGACCTACAGACCTCTGATGAACCATGATAATATTAGGCGTATAATTATGAATACATCGAAAGTCAATTGGTACTCTTTTCTTAATTCTTGAAGTATTCTTTGCTAGATTTTAGTTTGTTTTGATTTAATTTCGGTCTAGATATACTCTACGTATTCCATAGTAATTCGTAATTCTTAAAGGAGGTTTCTAATATCAAATAAAAATGTATAGAATAACTATATAATGAAATAAGACTTGGCTGACCGTCTGGGGAAATATCCTACTTAAAACAAAGACTAATGAGAAATAGGGTATTTTCGTTTTAGTGTAACATTTCTTTTTATTTCAATACCTCTCTCTCTATCATTGCTTGTCGATTTGATGATAATATATATGGTTGAGATCATAAGTCAGTTGAAGCTAGAACACCGTGGAAAACGTGGAAGCACTGAACGGCCGTTTCGTCCTATTATGAGATCCCTCAGTAGTGCGCGTCCACGATCCCACCTCACGAGCGAGATTCGAATCCAGGACCTACCAGTCTCGCATCAGAGCACTTAACCGATAGACCAATGGGCCTGCCGGCATTCGACGGTGTTAATGTCTAACTTCAACCAATCCACGAAACTGGGCAACCATTCACCAATGTCTTCAGTGAGTTGATATCTCCCAACAGACCTAGTTGAACTCCATTGGTTACTGCTTCGCACTAGAACTCCAGGAAATACATCATGGAGCAAGACACTGCTGAGCATATGATCATTATCAGTAGGGGATTTTGTGAAGATTTTAGTAATTTTATATAGTTGAGATCATGAGTCAAATGAAGCTAGACCATCATGGAAAACCTGAAAGCACTAGACGGCTGTTTCGTTCTATTGTGAGACTCCTCAGCAGTGGTGAATTTTTCTCTAATTACTTGTCGATTTAATGATTACTTTATCCATAGACTTATTTCCTGAATGATCTTATGAGAAGAATATTTTTTTTCTGATATTTTCTATTTTCTTATTGGTTATTCATTAGATCCACAATCACCTAATATGGAATGAAAATTGTTCATAATAATTACTTTTGAATTATTTTTTTATTTAAAGGCAGATTTATTATAGAATACGTGTCCATACTACTTCTAAACTCAATATCTGAGGGAAAGAGTGAGAGAGAGAGAGAGAGATGGAAAAAGAAACCCACAAACAAACAAACTGAATCAATAACCACTTATGGCTATTGGTTTATTGTTACTAACGTAAAACTGGAGAATATAAAAATGGATACATACATATACATACATACATACAAAATATTGATCGGGAATATATATTATGTCTAAATCAGAATAGTTCAATGTACAATATACAAATTGAATGATGGATAAAGAGAATACTTTCTTTTCATTTATACCAATGAATTGGAAATTTAGTAAGTTTAACTATGTTTTATATATATTAAATTCCATAATTCCCCCCCCCTTCCGGTTAATTATGGCAAATGAGATGTATATTTCACAATTGATTAATCACTGGGTGGTGATCAATATCATGTGTTAAGTCCTTCTCAGTGCTGATCGAATGCTATCGATCAAGTTGTAATGCTGCCACTAGTCTAGGTGGCTCGACACTGCGTGCACTATATATTGAGATAAGATGGTGGTTAGAGGTAGTCAACAGGAAACCCTGGACCCGGGTTTCGTGCTACTTGGCACTCGTCAGCAAGGTGTACCTGTAATCTTAAGGGAACTGATGCTCCCTGACAGATGCGATCCCGTGTCACTCAGCTTCACAGTCAGAGACGTTACCGCTGAGCTATTCGGGCTGCGTATATATATATATATATATATATATATATATATATTAGTGGTTTTTGAAATAAATAGAATAAACGTTTCAAAGCATAGATGAATAGTGGCTAGCGATGAAATCCAGAACGCGTGTTTCATCCTATTTCAGACTCATCAGCTGGATATACCTTCATTTCAGAGTTGATGTTCACTCTTGGACTCGAACCCTGTACCGTCCGTTTCAAACTACGTTACGTTATCCACTTAGGTACTATGTCCTGATAGCCAATTGTTTGTGCAATGAGGTGAAGTTTAAATTCACCTGATATTGTTTACTAAGTGGATAACGCGATGGCGTTTGAAGCGAATGGTACTAAGTTCAAGTCTCGGAGTGAACATCAACTGCCAGACGCAAGTAAATCCAGCTGATAGGTCCCAAAGAGGACGAAACACGCATCTTAGATTCTACTGCTAGTCAGTATCCATAATAATGCTTGTAAATAAAGGCAATATCAGGGCAATACTCACAGGATACACATATGCCAATATGAGAGATTGATCAATTGTAGTCCTAAACATCAATGGGAAAATTCAAGTAATCAATACCAAGTGAGAATAAATTTTCGTTCTCCTTTTTAAAGTACAAACAGTTTTACAAATCATGCCATAAATCGTTGACATTTTCAATCATTGACCTTGAATTTAGTAAATATTTAAGAAATTAACTGGATTTTCAGCTAGAAGAAATTATATTGTTCGAGTAGAATAAAGGATACAATCAAATTTTGAAGGATATCGGTCAAATTCAAGTTTGTTTCAGGAATAATTTATGAAGTTACACTAAATCTGTTTAAGAATTTGACACTAACGCTGATTAGGGGTTATCAGTGTCTATGTTCTAGAACGACGGATATAATATGGCTTTAGTTAGACCTAAAATACTAAAAGAACATGAGAAGTTGGTTGATGATATCATGAATCACCATATTCTTAGGTGTCTGGAAGATGTGTCACATATACTGCACCAATCTTTACTATAACATCTAATATTGACCGAGGTATGCCACAAGAAAGCTTATGGTGGCAAAATCAAGTGATCTCATCAGTACACAAAGTTCACAATTTTCCATCTGAAATGTGTTAATAAATGCAAACTATGTGCTGGGATGTACATGAAAATCTCACTCAATATTTTAAAGCCTTAGACGACATGGGTCAGAATCCGCAGCAATTGTGCAAACGGATTTCTTTTTATCCGTTCATGATTTGTTCTCCTAGATCTTGAAGTTAAATATTATTATCAGAAGGGATTTTTGTGGAGATTTCAGTAATTTTATAGTTGAAATCATGAGTCAAATGAAGCTAGACCACCATGGAAAATTTGATCCGTTGTGAGATATCAACTCACTGATGACATTGGTGAATGGTTGCTCAATTTTGTGGATTGATTGAAGTTAGACATTAACACTGTTGGATGCCGGCCATATCAGTGGTCTAGAGGTTAAGCGCTCACGCGCGAGATTGATAGGTCCTGGGTTCGAATCTCGAGAGGCGGGATCGTGGATGCACACTGCTGAGGAGTCCCACAATAGGACGAAACAGTCGTTCAGTGCTTTCAGTTTTTCCATGATGGTCTAGCTTCAATTGACTCATGATTTCAACTATTAAATGTTATTTCCTACATTTTATTCCCTTTTTTATTACGTCTTTTAAACCATATTCTTTATTTTTGGTTATTCTTCCTACTATGCATAGTAATATGTTTTCAACTTCCTTACAATTCATACTTTTGGTTTGAATTTGGCTTGTTGATGTAGCATGGCGATTTGGGTCGATTTACATGTCTGTTAGGTAATACGTTGATTATAGCTATTTGAGTTTTTGAAAAAGAAAAAATATGACAGAAGTTATTTAAATTAAGCTATAAATATTCCCTTGTTGTTGTTTACTGGTCAATCGCAGTCCAAAATAACAATGCGAAGATACAAGTAAACAACAACAAGTGAATATAACTTCACCCCATTGCACAAACAGGTAGCTATCAGGACTCAATAGCTAAGTGGATAATGTGATGGCGTTTGAAGCGAACGGTATTGGGTTCGAGTCTCAGAGTGAATATCAACTTTGAGATTCAGGTACATCCAGCTGATGAGTCCCAAATAGTACGAAGTATCGCGCGTCCTGGATTCCACTGCTAGCCGCTATCCATCTTCGCTCCACTTTCAATTAATTCGACAACAAAAAAATATGTTCGTAACGTAATAATAAACTGTTAAACGAATTATTTTTGTACTGGAGTCCTTTAATTTATAACAGTACAGTCAACAATATTGGATCCTATCGTGTTTAATATTTAACTGCAGATTATTTAAAAGCGATATTCTGTCACATCAGAGAAGAGGTTATATTCAGGTTTGCATCTTCCCATTGTTAGAGTTAAGACTGTAGACCATCAACGTTGATGATCTATGTCGAATAATTGGAGGCGTACTCGAGTTAGACGGAATGGTGTAACGAACAAGCTAACTTTGAAGTCACGCCTCACGATCAGCACCTTACGTGGATTGCCCCATCTACGTATCGAGGGACCATGAATGCTCTGAAGACTGTACAACACAAAGGACGTTATTACAGGAATATATTAGTTAAAGTAGATACAAGCGAAAGTAGAACCATTGCCGCATGGGCCAGTCCATGGCGTATAATTAACTGATGCGCGTTGATTGTCCTTGACCTTGACGGGGATCGATGATCTGTTCGATATTCAGTGACCCAACTGCTAGATGTTTTGGCTAGGGTTCAGTGACATTTCACTGGCCCTACAAGACCAATAAGTGATCAGTTTCTTTAGTACATACATAGTCTTAGCAAATGACTACAATATTTTCATCAAATTACGAATTTTTAGTAATGTTAGGTAGTGATTATCACTGGAATCCACTGAGCAAACAAGAAGATATATGAAATTAGTTGCTCAGTGGATAAGAAAGTGGTAATTTGAAGCCAAAGATATTGACTTTGAATTTCAGTGTGAAAATCAACATGAGGATCCCAATACATTGACTATTGTATGATTCTACTAATATCACCCATACAAATTTACTGAAAGCTTATGAAAAACAATCATAAAATAGATGCTAGTTCAGCAAATAATCTTTTGATGTGAATTCATTTCTGATTAACGTTCTTCCTGAGATAGTCGAATAATAATAATAAGAATATACTAGGTCAATAAGATATTGACTCACGCTACCAGCCGAGATTTAACTTCATTTTCCAATGGGAAAAAACATACGTCATTGGCTGAAAAAATCTCTTTACTTTCCAAAGGAAAAAGAAGTATATTTGTGAATGAGCGTATAAGTTATTCTCGATTTGGTTTCGGTCAGTATTGATTCCTCCCTATTAGTTTTCTCAGTCAAATAGTTAATGTTGACTCAAGTACAGAAAACTTCTACATCAGTATCTGTATTCGAAAGACCACAGGACATAACAGCCAACCTTCTTAGCCCAAAAACGGATGGCATTAAATCCATAAGTAGTTGTAGAATAGTGATCATTTGATAAATCCAGACTTATTTTCAAAGTTATCCATATTGTGAATACAAAACAACCAAAGATAACTTATTTGTCTTTGAACTATTAAAAACTATGGCATAAATATAGAGCAGTTAGAACTACATTACCAACTATGTTTCTCCTAACCCATAAAACCTCTTACTTGTAATCTCTAACTATTTATGTTTCCATACCCATTTCGATTATGAATTAGTTTTTACGGTACCTAACCCATTTGCACAATGTTAAATCATTATCTAACTTATATGATATCGTTTATTGATTACAAATCTATTAAAAGCTTCATTTACAGTCCCTTTAATAATAAAAACAGATTTAATCGTTAAATTCATGAGCTAATTAAAACTAGACCACCACTGAAAACTTAGAAGCACTGAATGGTTGTCCCTTCCTAGTATGAGAATCCTCAGTAGTGCGCACCCACATGCCGTCCCGCGAGCTTCGAAGCTGGGAGCTCGCGCGCGAATACTTGACCTCTAGACCATTGAGCCTACATCCAACGGTGTTAATGTCTAACTTCAAGCAATTCACACAACAGATTTTCTAAGTTTTCATTAACTTTGCAGTTGTTTCATCTTGTTTTAATGAATTATTATTATTATTGATTTGCGTACGGGTTATGATACTACCTGGGTGTCCAGAACGAAACAGGTAGTTTACTTAGGGGGACATACTTGATCCTTGACCTAAAGGTCTGATTGAGAAGGCTGTTGAGTGACGTCAGGAGTTGCAGTTCAGTGGTAACCTGTGACCTACAGTCGGTTCGTATGCCACTTGTTCCTTCAGGATCTTACTGCCCATGTGCAACACTGGTTTGATATCAGAGTTTTCCAACTCCTCTAGGTGGACCCTCCGTATACACCAACCCAGTTGAAGCGACCGACGTTCGATTTTCGTCCTCCCACTTTCATGAACAACAGTAATGCCGTGAGAATGAAGTGAGTAGGACTTCCATGGTAGTAACTGTATATGCGTGATCATAAGAGAGCATTTCGGGAGGGAGAGTTGATCCTCTCCACCCTCGGCCTTACCAGGTCATTCGGAGGCAAAATCTGTCAAATAAATATACAAACTGTCATAAAAACGCATGTCCAAAATTCAGATCATGTTATTATTATCTACTCTAAAAATGAGCACAATTTAAAGAAAAAAAAACATTTGATTCATCACACTTTTCATTCCTTCAAACATTCCTGAAGGTACAAGAAAATCTGCCCATCTCCAGTTTCACAGTTTTCTCAACACCAAATGTTTTGTAATAAACTTTTGTAAAGAAGATTTTTACTAATTCAACTAGTCAACAATCATATGAATAATGGATCAATGATTAAATAGGACAAAAGATAATATAAGTTACATAAATTCATTCAGTATTGTTTGTTTGAATCTTCCCATCGATTTGTTAGGACTGCAACTGGTCAGTTTCTAATTGGCATATGTGCATACTGTACGTATTGCCTCAATATAGCCTTAATTCACAAGCATTGTAAGCAGAGATGGATAGTGGCTAGCAGTGGAATCCAGGACGCACGTTTCGTCCAGCTGACGAGTCCCAAATAGGACGAAACGTTCGTCCTGGATTCCACTGCTAGCCACTATCCATCTCTGCTTACCATAAGTTACATAGTCACAACAACATACAAGATCAATATTCTTCTCTGAGTTATATACAGCCTTCAATGAAACTCTTGATCGCCTAAAAAACGTTTATTTTGATGTTGCATCAAAAGCTTACATAGTTTAGTTCACATATTTTTATTAGAAAAAGCCAAAAAAATATTTAAAACCGGATCTAATATAAATAGATCCAAAATATTAAATAAATGAGGTAAAACTTAGTTATTTTAATATTCCTTTTAAGTCCGATTATTTTCACAAAGATCAACTAAGGGTAATAAATGTTAAGGTCCTGGGTTCGAATCTTGCTAGGCGAGGTCGTGGATGAGCACTGCTGAGGAGTCCCATAATCGGACGAAACGGCCGTCCAGTACTTCCAAGTTTTCCTTGGTGGCTTAGCTTCAATCGACTCATGATTTCAATTATGAAAAATACTGAAATCTCCACAAAAAATCCCTTCTAAATTTTGTAGTCATTTATTTATTGGTCATTTGAAATGATTTTGAAATATCGAAATCATATCTACTACCAAGTAGATATCGGGTTATCATACTATTGGAAGTATATTGATCTCTTACTCTCACTTCTGAGGAATTCACCAAAAGATGCTTTTGCACATACATATCAACTGGTAGACATAAATGTTGGTAACGTATGGTAAGCACTTTTCCAATTTGAATATGTCAACAATCAGTTTATTCGATTAAAGAGAATAAATTTCAAGACTAAATAATTCAATTGTGATGTAGCTCTTAGTCTATGAACAATCTTCCTAGTCGTTTCAACATAGTTTTTTCTCTATCTCATTATGCCCCATTCCATTCATTCTTGTCTTTACATATTTACTCATAAACTTTTAAGGGTAACCATTATCCTTCATATGATTTTCAGTGCTGACTGAGTTTTCCCCAATGTTGATTGTAAAGCGTCCTAGCTGAAGCTATGAAAATTCAGATTAAGTTCTCACCGAATGTCCTTTTGATGGAAAAAGTGACCTTTTCAACTAAAAATTTATTATCAGAATAGGGATTTGTGGAGATTGCATTAATTCTAATGGTCGAATTCATAAGTCGATTTAAGCTGAACCATCATTGAAAACCTGGCTTTGAGTCCTGCATACGGAATCGTGGATGCTCACTGCTGAGCAGTCCCATACTAGGACAAAACGGCCTTACAGTTCCTCTATTCTTTACATGATGGTCTAACATCAGTCAGTTCATGATCTCAATAAAAACGTTAGCTTAAATGTTTTTCGGACTTATCGCTATGTATATTTATTTAATAGAATTTTTGATCTTATATGTTAAACTCGGAAACTCATTCTTTATTATCCTGCTATAAATAACTCTAAATCAGTAACATTACTTACTTACTTACGCGTGTTACCCCTCGTCGAGGAGCATAGGCCGCTCACCAGTATTCTCCATCCAACTCTGTTCTGAGCCTTCCTTTCCAGTTATTTCCAGTTGCTATTCATCCTTTTCATACCTGCTTCTATTTCTCGGCGTAATGTGACATATGTACATCAAATAGTAGCTTTCGAAGACCTACAAACAAATGTAGGCTCTAAATCATGCAATGATATACAAATAGTATGGTGGGGTTGAACTGTGTAAATGACTAAACTACATTAATGTAGCTATTCCAATATTGGAGATATTATTAGCTATTTTAGAGGAACGAAGCTCGTGTATCAATAATCTAACATAATTCAATGGTCAAGTCTACTTGAATAGTTATTCAGGTAATATAAAAGAAGGGGTTTTGTGGAGATTTAGTATTTTCATAGTTGAAAGCGTGAGTCAATTGAAACTAGACTACCAAGGAAAACCTGAAAGCACTGAACGGCCGTTTTTTACTATTATGGGACTCCTCAGCAGTGTGCACCCACGATCCCTCCTCGCGAGATTCGAACCCAGGACCTAGCAGTCTCGAGCCGTTGGATGCCGGCTCAGTGGTCTATCGGTTAAGTCGATCTAAGCTGAACCATCATTGAAGACCTGGCTTGGAGTCCTGCATACGGGATCGTGGATGCGCACTGCTGAGGAGTCCCATAATAGGACGAAACGGCCGTCCAGTGCTTCCAGGTTTTCGATGGTGATCTAGCTTCAAATGACTCACGCTTTCAACTATAATATAAAAGGATTGATGTAAAATATCCTTAACATGGAATTTGTTTATCACAATATGATGACTATTTTAATCGTTATTCTTTTCAGATGATAATAACTTATTACGTAAACGTAAAGAATTAATACATGAGCTAAAATTGAATGTTAAAACATTAATGGAATATGCTTCAGTTTGTCGTTCAATTCCTGAAGATAGTACACATGTAATCAGTTTTTGTAGTAAGTTTGTCATGTAAATTAATCAGTTATATTGAGCCTAACCAATTCATTTGTAATAAAAAAATAATGCGATTAGTTCTTGGAAAACAAGTAAGTTGATGTATAGTGGCGAGTCCCATTCGACTTACTGTTCAACAATGATCCAAAGTATCACGATTTAATTAGCACGTTATCGATCCTCATGAAATCCAGCCAGTTGGTATGAAGTTGGGCGTCTACTGATTCTTTCATTCGGTACAACAACACTGCTTAAAACTTCTACATAGTAATGATGGTAGTGTGATGCTCATGTGGTTATAATACTACCTGATATCTTATTTCTCTGATATCTTGATGTGGTATCATTCTTTTCAGTCAGTTGATACTTGTTCTTCCCTTCAAATCTTTCTGAAGAGATTATAGAGCATCTTTGCAGTTATTTATAATTCTGACTTCAATGCTTCATTTGGCATATTGTCTGGTCCTGCTACTTTCTGATTCGATTTGTTTAACGAATACTTTGCATTTCGTTCATTAATTAACATTTTTTGTTTAACAATAGAGTAGGTTAAACTTGCGCTAATTTTAAAAAATGAACTACCTATTCACTGATAAAAACAACTAAAATCAAATAGCAAAATGCAAATATATGTTATCTTAACATTTTAAGCATACTTTACCCAAGCATGACCGGTCAGAGTCGAGGATATTCGTAGGCTAATAGTATTCGATCATAGGTGTCTTCGAAGCATTGCTCGTATATCCTGGGATCACCGAGTAAGTAATGCAGTTGTTAGGAAACGGATACTGGATAAGGACAACAAACCGATTAACGAAGTAGTGAAACTTCATCAGTTAAGATGGCTGGGATACGTGTTATATGTGCCCATTCACCGACTGCCCCGATGAGCGATGTTTCATGGTGTGGGAGTAGGTTGGAAGAAAGCTAGTGGCGGCCAGACCAAAACACGGTACAAATCCGTGAATTCACTGACAAGTTGACTGAGCCATTTTGATAGATGTAGACTACCTGGTTGGGATGATAGCAATCGATGGTTAGAGACCTTGAATGACATGGCCCAAACTCGTTTGGTATTGCGCAGGTGCATCCACTCATTGTGTTCTCCCAAATTCTAATCTTCTAAATTCTTCATGTCCCCCTCTCAACTCTTTCCAAATTTATTTCACTGGATTATACTCTTTGAATAAGATCATCAAACGTTAATGTTTCAGATTACTGCTTATACTTTTCTACCCCTACCACTATGAGATTTGAATCGACAGTTGCATCTCTGTGCTAATGTGGCATGGCAACTTGAACTGATGTAAGTACGTACGTACGAAGTTCTATGTTGTTACTGACTGACTTAGCTTGTTTAAAACAATCTTGTCAAATCATGCTAGTGATACGTTTTAAATGAGTTTTTAATCATGATTATATTTGTTAAATGTCTTGTATGTGGTTTATAATTTTGGTCATATAAAATGACCTACATCCTGCTGACATGATATTCTGTCTTTTGATAGATCACATTCATCAGAATAATAAAGGTTGTCATTCACTCAATTTACACAGTCAAACAATCCTTTGTCAATGATAACACGAAACTACAGGCTTGTCTACTTCCGTCTGTAGCTTTTCTAGGGCTTACTACATGTCTCAAACCTGGGTAAATGAGAAGGATTGGGCATGGGATCAGCAATCCCATCGCGTAGAAAACAACCTTGTTAAAAAAAAGCTAGTCAAAATAAACAAGTAAGTAGGTAATAAGATTATCTATTGAATAGCTTTGGACTCCTTTGACATTTTAATCAAGTCTAAACATGGATGAAATAAGTAGTTTTCACAATTATTATTATGTTTATTTCAACTTTAATTTTGAATAATTTATAAATAAAATGACTTAACAAGTTTATATGTGACTAGATTGTTCGAAATCTTCAACATAACAACAACTTATTTCTTAAAATTACCTTCATCTTCTCATTGTCCTATCAAAATTGGATGCCATCTCAGTGATCTAGAGGTTAAGCGTTTGCTTGCGAGACTGATGGATCCTGGGTTCTAATTTCTCGACGCGGGATCGTGGATGCATATTACTGAGGATTTACACAATAGGACGAAATGCCGTTTAGTGCTTCCAGATTTTCCATGGTGGTCTAGCTCCAATTGACTCATGATCTCAACTATTAAAATTATTATAATATCCACAAAAAACGTCTTCTGATATTAAATATGAGAAAATATTGAATATTATATAGTTGAAATCATGAGTCAATTGAAGGTAGACCACCATGGAAAACCTAGAAGCGCTGGACAGCCGTTTCGTCCCACTGTGAGACTCCTCAACAGTGCGCATCCACAATCCCGCCTCACAAGCTAGACTCGAACCCAGGACCTACCAGGATCATCCAGGTCTGTTGGGAAATATCAACTCACTGAAGACATTAGTGGATTGGTTGAAGTCAGACATTAAAACTGTTAGATGCCGACCGGCTCAGTGGTCTATCAGTTAAGTGCTCTGGCGCGAGACTGATAGGTCCTGTGTTCGAATCTCATGAGGCAGGATCGTGGATGAGCACCGCTGAGGAGTCCCACAATAAGACTAAACAGCCGTCCAGTGCTTCTAGGTTTCACATGGTGATCTAGCTTCAATTGACTCATGATCTTAACTATATAAAATTACTAAAATCTCCACAAAACCCCTTTCTGTAAATGTTAAATAGTTATTTTTATTGTACTGTTAACCACAAAAGACGTTTTTAAAGTACCTATAAATATCCTTCATTATTTTTCTATATAGCATTAGTTCATGAATGCCTTCGTATCGGTTTGAAAACATCACCATTTTCATTTTATCAAAATATATCAACTTATTCATTATTACATAAAATTTCAAATCAATGTGAAACATCATTGAAAATAATCAATAAATTTGAAAACCGTTTCAATGAAATAGAAAATTCACATAGCAACAATTCAGAAAAGTCTAATCATCATCACCACCACCCCCACCACCAGAACCAGCAACAACAACAATCAAATTTTCAAAAAATTTTTCATTATTCAGAAAATAATAAAAATAAGATTGATAAAGAAAATGAAAAGAAATTTTATTCAAAATTAAGGTAATTATAATTCATTATATCAGAAAAATTTATATTTTATATGATACTCTATGATAGGAAACTATTAATATATGATCTCGTGTAGTGTGGTCTACTTATATCCATATAAGTAGTATATGGTGATGGACAGACATAGAATGTATTTTCGCAGAAGACCGATGAGAAAAGAACTGAAAATGAAACGCAATTGGTAGGAAAATGCATGATCAATAGAATTAGAGAAGATGGATTGATATTTACAGAAGGAACAGTGTAGATTGAGACAATTGGTTGTTATTTTGCAAAATAAGTATTTGTTGTATGATTATCAGAATTTAGTAAGATAGTTTGTAGTTTGTGTCTAAATACATTCTATTGTCCTAATCAGTGCTCTGTTTACTACACCCGTGTAAATGGTTTGAAGATGGATAACCGAATAACTAGTTAAAGATCATAATTGATCGGGTTCGAACACATGGTTCTTCATACAATTTTTATTTATTTAGACACATAAATACTGGTACAAAGGGGCATCAGATATATATGCGCCGCACAAATCTTATTTGATTTATGTTAAGGCTGTGATACTGTCCAGGTGCCCGAACTGAACCAGGTGGTTTTCTTAGGGGGACCAAACCCTGATCCTTTGACTTAAAGATCTGATTCAAAAGGCAGTGGAGCATCGTAAGTAGATGCAGACCCATGGTAGCCGGTGACCAACGATTGATTCATTCGCCATTTGTTCCCTTGGGATACTGGAGCCCGTGTCCACCAACCCGGTTAAAGCGCCGGATATTCGCTATTCCTCCTTTGAATTTTGCAAACCACACCCCCGCTACGAGAAGGCAGTGAGTAGGACTTCTTGATACTGTTATTCATCAGTTTAGTAAAATAACTCTGAAGAACATGATTAAATGTTTGAGTTAGGAAATAAGTACCAATGATTATCAAGTAAATGTTCTAAATGTAATGTAGTTATTTCAAGACTCAAAGAACTTGTATTTGACTTTCGTTGATATTGTGATTATGCAATATTAAGGAATATCAAATTAATGATGAATGAGTTGTTCATTGTTTTCTCATTTCCAGATATTCTTTTTAATATCTTAAACTAAATTTTGTATGAAACATATTCTCCTAACAATGTATATATGCTGATATAAACACTTCATTTTAATAACTCTCTTATTATGTTATGTCATAAAGTATAAATTAAGAACAAGCCTTAAAGGTGGTAATAATAGGATATAGTAAATTGAATCAAATTTAATATTTCCTCATAAATGATCAGTTTGATTGAAGACATTTACATTTCAACACCGTTCGTTTCAAACGACATCGCGTTATTCACTTACCTACTGAGTCCTGATAACCACCTGCATGTACAATGGGGTAAAATTTGAATTCATTTATTATTGTTTGTTTGAAGCGAAAGGTACTGGGTTCTAATCCCAGAGTGAACATCAACTCTGAGATACAGATGCATCCAGCGGACGAGTCCCAAATAGAATAAAACGCGAGTCTTGGATTCCACTGCTAGCCACTATCCATCTTTGTTTATAATGCTTGTGAATTAAGGTAATATCGAAGCAATACGCACAATATACACATATGCCAATTAGAGATTGACCATTTGCAGTCCTAAGCATCAATGAAAAGATTCAAACAAACCAAACTCAGTGAATTTCAATTCATAGTTTCAAACAAAGCATCGATGCCTAAAAAATGTTATCTACAAACTTAACTCATTGGTGACTAATCTATCCTACTTGAGTTTATTAACAAAAACACACTTGAAGAAAATGTTTAATTGACTCAGTAATTAAACCTAAAAGACAAATAGATTGTAATTACTCACAGAACATGTAATTGAAGCTTTGTTTTGTGATGATAATAAGAAATCATTACATTTCTTAATGAATTATCTCAATTGTTAGGTAAATCCATTAAAAATCTATCTATCTTCATCTATCTTTTTCTTTTCAGATTTAATAATAACAGTTCAAACATTGAATGGATTCATTTTGCTCTTGTAGAGAAACTACTTGAAACCATTGTACAACATATCTGTTCAAGAGCAAAGTAAGTGGAATGTTTGTCATATGTCAGTGTGATTGACTATTATGTTGTTGACCTTAACAACTGAATTTGATTAGTCTCATCTGAAATGTATGCATTTCTAGTGGATTGTCTCAGTATTACCATCAAGGCACAAGTATTTTTTGAGTAATGATGGATAATGGTTGGGATTGCAATCCAGGATGCGAGTTTGCTTACTTACTTACTTACTTATACAATAGTGACGAAGAAGGTTCCATAAGATTGTTCTATCCATGATATCAAACTTTCCTAGTCCAGGAAGTTTATGTATAGTGATGGGTTCCATTCAACTGATTGCTCAATAATGATCAGTGATGTCAATTTTTGGCCTGTGTACGACTGATCCTTATGTAATCTACATTGATGATCTTCCATCTCGTCTGTGTTTCACCATGGCGAAGATGAGATATCCGTCTATCAATAAAGGGACGAGTATACTGAGCAGCAGTTCGCTCGGTTCTACTTTACGGCTGTGAAACATGGCCATTAAGAGTAGAAGATACTCGTAAGTTACTAGTATTTGACCACAGATGTCTTAGAAATATTGCTCACATCTGCTGGGATCACTGGGTAAGTAATAGTGAGGTTAGACATAGGTTATTAAGGAGTGGTGGTAAATCAGTTGATGAGGTCATGAATCTTCATCGACTGAGATGGTTGGGCGACGTGTTACATATGCCTGAAGACCGATTACCAGGACGCGCAATGTTGACTAGTGTAGGGGATGGTTGGAAGAGAGTTAAGGGCGGCCAAACCAAAACATGGCATCAGAGCTTGAAGTCACTAACTTCTAGTCTGAGGCATGTTGGTAGATGCAGACTACTACTTGGTTGGTGTCCGCGTGACCATCGTAACCAATGGTTGGAGACTCTGTGTGACATGGCTCAGAATCGATCACAATGGCGTAGGTGTATACACTCTTTATCTTGCCTTAAATCTTGAGATTAAAATTGCTTTATAACTTTTTTCCTTCCTATACTATATCCTTATATACAACCTTTCTTTATATACTACCACCACTAAATTAATTACTTCCATGAGTCCTGTGTTCATCTTGTTGTGCTAGTGAAGTATGGCAACTTTGACCGATGCGTACATGTGCATGGTCCTACGTTGTAGCTGACTGACTGACTGATTGACTGGGGTTCATCATGTCAATATATAATGACTATAAATGTATTGGTTAATACGCAAGTCAGTATAAATTTCACCGAATTCCTAAGCTAATGTAACGAGTGACTGAGAATGATATAATATGTGGCTTTTAGAACTGAAGATATGATAACTTCACGTTAATAAAGCAAAGAATAGAAACCATGAAACTATGACTAGACAATGAATAAAAATCTACCAGCTATCGACATAATTGTTTCAAATTAATTAGAGAAGAGATTAGGTTGTTTATGACAAGATCTATTAGTAGTATCTTAATGATTAGAAAATATGAATCTTGATTAATTCGTAACATACAGTAAGTCACCTATAGAATCCGATAAACTTGATTACACTGGATGCGCATTGCTGAGGAGTCCCATGATATGACGAAACGACTGTCAAGTACTTCCAGGTTTTCCATGATGTTCTAGCTTCAATTGACTCATGATTTCAACTATGAAAATACTGAAATCTCTACAAAACCCCTTCTGATTATAATCGTATGCTCACTACTGACTGACTTCAAGATACATGTCCTGAAGTTCTAGTGGGAAGCAGTGACCAGTGGAGTTCAACCACGTCTGTTGTTAGATAACAACTCACTGAAGACAATTGGTGAACGGTTGCTCAAACATCGTGGATCAGTTGAAGTTAGAAATTAACACCGTTGGATGCCATCAGGCTCCGTGGTCTAGTGATTAAGTGCTCTGGCGCGAGACTGGTAGTTCCTGGGTTCGAACCTCACTCGCGAGGCGGGATCATGGATGCGCACTGCTGAGGAGTCCCATAATAGGACGAAAGGGCCGTCTAGTGCTTCCAGGTTTACCATGGTGGTCTAGCTTCAATTGACTCAATATTTCGACTGTGAAAATACTGAAATCTCCATAAAACCTCTTCTGATTACATTGCGAATCTTATATGCACGTATATCAACTGATATATACATATATGCATACTTATGATGGGCGGCGTCCGAGATCTGACAATGAAATAGAATGTGCTAAGCTTCAATACCAGCTGACGGTTATTACTTTCAAATGTCATATCAAATAAAGGTTTATTATATAAAGTATTATCCATTCATAGTATATACACAGAATTTCTTTTTCCGTTGTAGAGAATTTTATAGTTCTGATAGCATTATGGCTAATAAATGTGATGTCAATGTATTTTTATCTTTGATCAGTGAGTTCTATAAGTGTTTTTCAATGCATAATCATGTTTTATTTACTAGGGGTAATTACCCAAGTCATTCATGAAATTTCAATTCTTTTTTACTTGACACACGAAACTGAAATTATAAACTTGTTCCCGAATGTGCAGGTATAACCGAGAGTAGGGAGAGTTAGCTATTTCGAAATGCTCTCATATCGCCACACGTATGCAACCACTGCCTACTCGCAGCGAGGATGTTCTTCAAGAAATTGAGAGGACACGGAGTGTCCACCTAGGGGAGTTGGAAAACTCAGATTCCAAATCAACATTTCAGATGGGCTCTAGGATCCTGAGGGACCGAGTGACGTGTGTACCTATTGTTGGTTACTAGTATCTCCTAACGTTGCTCTAATGTCTTGTCGATCAAACTTCTATGTCAAAGGCTCGTGGAATTGATCCTAGGAAAATCATGTGCTTCGGATTGGGCACGCGGAAAGTATCACAGCTTTCACACAAATCAAATGATTTGTGAGGCGCATAACCAAGTTTATCCACACATACCTACGTGTCCCAACCCAACTGTCAGTGTATTCACTGACAGATGTCATGCGTTGGTTCGGCCGACTATGGCTTTGAGTATTCTAAATTAAAAAGAAAATTTCCTGGCTAAAGACTGACTACTGAAATTTCAAACGGTGAGAGTTTTATCTCTAAAAGAGTGTTTATGCTAAATTTAAGTAACTATGCGGATAAACCTGATGAACATCATTTGAAGTGATAGATTTCAACGACAATTAGCCATAGTCTCTGAATCGACTAGTGATGTTTGTACAAAATGCCTGTTTTAGGGTTGATGTACCTATCTGGTGCACCTTACAATGACAGACATTGTCGTAAAACAGGTCGATCGACATAGTTTAACGCTGCCTTAAGGCCGAGAAATACAACTGTGGTAAGAAAGTGGTAAATATGTTTTTGTTCTGAAACCTGACGAAGGGTGAATATTTGGTCCTTACATCCACATCCATGTTCGAAATTAGTCTGGTTTTCTCGAGTTTGCTTTCCTTAAGCTCAGGTAAGGCCATGTTTGATTATTGCCGTTACCGTTTAGGATACTACATCAATGAAACCAATTCCTCCATGCTTTTCACCAGAGAATTTTCATCTTTCCTTATAGACTGAGTCGATCAACAATCGAAACTAGTAAAATGGGATTGCGCCCGGTTCCTAGACTTAAGCGAATACTTCAGTCGACACAGCTGGTAAAACAACCATTAACATGGAAAATTCGTGGGGTAGTTTAATCAGAGTCTGTAGCTTTTCTTCGATTTAGATCAGCTACGAAGTTTTCTACCAACTTGAGAATTAGGGGGCTAATATCTTTTTAATCATATTCAGGTTGCATAGTAAAATTTGTAAACCAAAGTGTAGCTTAAAAAACAGTTAAACTGTTCGCCAGAGTGTTATGCCCATTATCCCAGTTTCTTGGGTTGAGAGTGTACTGTCACTTCATTTTTTCTACAATAATCTAACTATCTTTCGAAGTCTTAATACCTAATCCATTGATATGTCTGAAAAGTTGTCTACTGTTGCCTAATACTACTTCACTTTCCATCTCTTTTGCTTTCGTTGGGCATTACTGTTCATGGTCATTTTGTATATATTTTTCAGTCTATGTTTCAGCTGCCTTCGATACGTAAAGTGTAAAGAGCTTAATACGAAGAGCTTACAAGCATCTATATATTCAGCAGACGCTGCTGAAATCCGCTAATTTTTTTAAACTTTTGGTTACAGTTATTCGTGAATATCAGTGCTGTTTTCTCAGCTACCTGAATATCATACCGAGTCACATTGAAGTGAACATTACTTTGATGACTGACGAAATGAATAATTAGTTGTTCCTAAGATAAATACTCCTGATCACTATCCAGTGATCAAACGATTGTAAACACTTTGCTAGTATGTGTTAATATGCATGAAATCAAGAGGGCCTGAATGTTATTAACTTAATAATCCATTTAAAGAGAAATACTGTTATTAGGGAACCTCATGAACGAAGATTCAAAGTCGGAAAAGTCATTCAGCTATCAACAATTTCTCGCTAGGACACTGCAGTCAGAGCTTATTTAGCATGCCATCATGTTTATTACTGATTCAAGATTAGCCTGACATAACATACTAATATGAGCTTATTTACTTCACCTATATTTATATATCTTAGTTCAATATTGGGTTCATAAATGTTTAACTGACGGAATACAGTCTGATTGTAGTTAACCTAATGTTGTTATAATTGTTAATGAATATATCTCAATATTTGATTGGTGTTATTTATTTAGGAGGTCCATGTGCAATCAACTATTCATCAACTATTCATGAAGATTCATATTGGTTAAATTTACATGCAAATGAACTCATTGAAAGGCAACGATTCACTTCAATTACAAATCAAAATCAAACTGTTTATAGCCCATTAAACGTATCACAGAAGATAAAATCACCTGTAAGTATTTATTACGAAATCAGTTTACAAACTTACTTTCTTACTTAGGCTTGTTACCTCTCATGGAGGAGCATAGGCCTCCCACTACCACTCTCCATCCAACCCTGTCTTGGGCGATCTGTTTTAGTTCTTTCCAATTGCTATTTATCCTTGTCATGTCTGATTTCAATTCCCGACATAGTATATTCTTTAGTTTTCCTCTTTTCCGTTTCTCTTCAGGATTCCAAGTTAGGAATTACCTCGTGATGCCGTTTGGTGATTTCCGTAATATATTTCTTATCCATTTTCATCGTCTTTTGCTAATTTCCTCTTCAGATGAAAATTGGTTTGTGCTCTGCCACAGCAAGTTGTCCCTGATGGCATCCGAACAACGGATATTGAGTATCTAACATAGACAATTGTTTATAAATACTTTTACACTTTTAATGATAGTTGTGCTAGTTCTTTAAGTTTCAGCTCGTATTGAGGATGTTGGTTTTGATGTTGGCTGACAGTTATTTTGAGTCCCATATGTTCTTCAACTATGAGATTGCTGTCCTTGCATTGCCAATCTTTGCCTTTACGTCTGCATCAAATTCTTCATGTCCATCGACGACTGCTACCAAGGTGCGTGAATGTGAATCATTTGTCTGTGGTTTAATATTAAGTGGAATTCATTCAATTTGAATGACTTTTATGTAGCACTTATACATATTGTGATGAATGAGAACACAAGTGGGGATATTACATAATATGAGAACCATACAGTTAATACATCATTTGCAAACTGTCCGTTAGACTTTATTCTTCTTTCGTTTCCACACCAATCACTCTCTAATCTCGTTCTCCTCTTCTCTTTGGTCTTCTCAACCTTCTGCTATCAGGCATTTCACTTTTGATCAACGATACATACTACTTATATCTGTAGATATCATTACCACACAACACAATGTGACTTATATTAAAGAGGGGTGTAGATTAGATTTCATCTAAACCTATCGAATAAATGGTTAAGTCCAGAAAACTTTCACCTTAGTATGTATAATTAGCAATCAAAATAAACAGGATAGATTCTTATTCTAAAAGAAGCCTATAAGGAATCGTGAAATTACTTTTACAAAACTAGTTTCAGACTAGTGTCGGTTGCTATGCTAAGCCCATATAACTCATTCTAGCTTCGCAACAGGTCATTATAATTATTCTTCTCTAACCACATTTTGACCTTGTGTTATGTTCGCCACTTGATTAAAGCAAAATACGGTATAGAACTTCGACACTCGAACGTAAAGAACCCCACAGTCCCAAACCAGAAGACAGAAGGCTGGAGAAGTGTTTGTTGGGTAAGAATTAAAAAGCACAGAAAATCATGGGTATTTATAGGTGTTAGTGTTTGTTATATCAACATCATAATTCAGCCAATCCGTAAAAGACAAGTTATGTTACAGTTCAATCCTAGTATGCCACGATGATACTGTAGAGAGCTTCATCACGTTCTGATTGAATCGAAACTCTTTGGCTCCTATACGGCCTCTGGAGGCTCGAAAGCTGTCCCAACATCTTGTCAATTATTCGCTTATCAACCTTGACCGTTTTCAGCATGAGCGTATGTGTGTGCAGATCTTATCCTATTCATCACATGTCTATAGCCTTTTTTGTCTGATTATAAGTATCGATCCACGCTTGGTTAAATTGAGTACACAGACATGCCTTCTCCACTACATGTCATTCCATTTCTCTTATCTCTTTCCTATTCACTTTCTACACTCCGTCTCCCCGATTGTTCATACAGATCAATGATTATACGAAATAAGTATATTCAAAACTTCATTCTTGTATCTGACTTATTTTAATTCCATGCGATTTAATTCGATGAAATATACAAGGATAATCGACATGTATATATCAATGACAATTAGCATACAATCAAATTGGAATCATTAAATACTGTATATCACCATGGCAACCAGAATTCTTCTTTTTTTTAAATTTACAGATAGTTTACCCGGAAAATTTGAATTTTATTGAAAATAAAAAAATTGATAAAACTATAAAAAGAAGAATAAGAAATCCATCTACATTATCAGATTCATCATTGACAGATAATAATGTAGATAGTTTATATCAAACAAGAAAAAGTACATTACTTTATGGAAAGAATAATGTTATGGTAACATATTTATTTTATTGATTATTTTATATTGATTTTTTATTTTGAACACAAAGAAAAATATTGATTGAACTAACATATTGGTATTATGTAATCAAATTGTCATTTGAATAGTTGAATTCATGAGTCAATTGAAGTTGGGTGCCGGCAGTCTCAGTGGTCTAGAGACTGATAGGTCCTGGGTTCAAATCTTTTGAGGTGGGATCGTGGATATGCATTGTTGAGGAGTCCTATATTAGGGTCGGAACGACTATTCAATACTTTCAGGTTTTTTCATGGTGATCTAGCTTTAATTGACTCATGAATTCAACTATTAAATTACTATAATATACACAAAACCACTATCTGATTATAATTATCATTTACATTGAATTCACTTAGTATTGTTTGTTTGAATCTTCCTATTGATGTTTAGGACTACAAATGGTCAGTCTCTAATTGCCATATCTGCATACTGTGCGTATTGCCTCGATATAATCTTAATTCACAAGCATTGTAAGCAAAGATGGATAGTGGCTAGCAATAGAATCCAGGACGTGCGTCTTGTGCTGCTTGAGACACGTCAGCTAGATGTACCTTCATCATCAATGGGAAGATTCAAATAAGCAATACTAAGTGAATTCAAACTTCACGGGATTGCACAAGCAAGTGGCTATCAGGACTCAGTAGCTAAGTGGATAACGCGATGGAGTTTGAAGCGAAAGGTATTGGGTTCGAGTCCCAGAGTGAACATCAATTGTGAGACGCAGGTACATCCAGCTGACAAGCCCCAAATAGGACGAAACACACGTCCTTGATTCCACTGCTAGCCACTATCCATCTTTGCTCGCAATATCATTTTCATTGTTTTGTAGGTTCAATATTGTGTTCAAGGTAGTAACTACAAAAAGCTAAAATATTCACCTATAAACATATAAGATAGTTTTTCTATTTAAGTCATTTGGTTATTAGAGTGAATATAACAGTGTTGTACTGAACAATATCAATCATCTGGATTTTGATTGAACACTGCCCAAGTTGTGTGCGAAGGATTTAAATAACTCTTCTATTGTAAGATATACATTATCTTCTTATCAGATAAGAAAACATACGAAGTTAGACGTTCAAAAGCTTCTCGAGATTTCTTCGTTTTCACTGACTTGGAAGTGAAATTTTTGTCCACTAATTGAAAATTCTAGAGTTCAAGAAAGAAACAATTTAGATAAGATAGTGGTTGGAAGTAGTCAACAAGAAACCCTGAACCCGAGTCTCGTGCTATTTAGCACTCGTCAATATCAGTTCCTCAAGATTACAAGTACACATTATTGATGAGTACCAAGTAGTACAAAACCCGGGTTCAGGGTATCCTGTTGATTACCTTCAAGTACAATCTTATCTCAACATAGTGCATGTAATGTCGAGTCACCTAGACTAGTGGCCACATTGAAACTTTGTTAATGGGATTTGATCTGTTCTAAGAAGGACCAGAAGTAATATTATTATTATTAGTGGCTTTATTCAATCTTATATTTTCGGTACAGTATAGAATTCTCAGTACAAAGTATTTCAGCGAGTTTCCATTTCTTACTTCTTGGTCGACTCTGACGATGTATATTGAGTGATCACCAGTTAGATGTTAGCAGTTTAGGAATCGACATCTGAATAATATTCATTCTTTTCAATATACTTTGCCAGCCATCACGATTTCTCCGATTGTGCATTTGTGTAACTTGTACAGAGAAAGGTCGTAAACACTTCACAAACACACTGAATAGATTATGTAATTAATTGATATAATGATCTATTAAAACAAACAAGAAAACGAATAACTTGTTGAAATATCTACGTGACAGGAACATGTAACCCAGATATTCAAGCAGGTCGCTTTATCATCTCAACAGTTCAGTATACGTAAGAATCTAAATAACGATTGTTCTAGTTTGTTATCCATTTACAGTATTTAATTTAACCTAAAAGTTTAGGTTTGGTCCACCAGAGTGTTTGATACCTTAGTGGTTGCGCCACAGGATTGGGCTGTGCTGTTCGGATTGTAGCATTGAAGCCTATATAGTGTCTGGTTCTCCTATAGGGCGTGATTAAGCTATACTGCTTGGGTTGTCGCGTGAAAGTCTGGATGGTGTCTGGTTTTCCTGAAAACCAGTGCAAGATTACCTTGGCCCATAAGGGTATATTATCTAACTGTGAATTATATAAAAGTTTAGGTTACTTCATACAATTAGCTAATATTGAATTTATACTTAATTAATGCATATTATTATGTGAAATTATGAAAGATATGCCAGTAAATAAAAATATAGTTGAATTTGCGACTCAATCTAGTATACACTACTACTGTAAACCTTGAAGTACTTTATGGCTGTCTCGTCCTAGTATAGGACTTTTCAACAATTTGCATTCACGATCCAGCACATGGGATTCGAATCCAGGACATTAGGTATTGCACGTGAGCAGTTAATCTCTAGACCACTGAGCCGATATCTGACGATGTTAATGTCTAACTTTAATCAATCCACAATATTGGGTGACCATCTTCCATTGTCTTTAGTAAGTAAATACCTTACAACAGACACGGTTGAAATCCACTGGACACAGCTTCTCATTAGAACTGCAGATTATAATTAGTTATCATCCTAATCATATATTTAAATATTGTTTCTGTAATTTCAGACCGGAATTCTGAGGTAAAAGACTTCAACATCAGTCAACTCATGATTTGGAAATCTGAGATTTTATCTTAAGGTTACATAAATCACACTAATTGCGCGTAACTGTAACAGTGTTCTCTTAACTATTTCCGAATAAATTATAACGACTGTAAATTTTCTTAATAAACTAGAATGAATAATAAGGTAAACATTGGAACCATTTAAGCTTGATAGAATAGTTGGTAGTAATTATATTAAAACCAAGTATTATGAGTTAGTCAAAGTCACAGAATAATTATGAAAGTATTAGTACTTATAAGCGAAGATGGATGGTGGCTAGAAGTGAAATCCAGGACGCACGTTTCGTCTTATTTGGGACTTGTCAGTTGGATGTACTGTATCCCTGACTTGACGTTCACTCCGAAACTCAAACCCAGTATCGTTCACTTCAAATGCCATCACATTATCTACTTAGCTACTGATTCAAGATAGACACTTGCTTGTGCAATAAGGTGAAGTTAATTGGATAACGTGATGGCGTTTGAAGCGAGCGGTACTGAGCTCAAGCCTCAAAGTGAACATCAACTCCGGGATCCAGACACATTCAGTTGACATGTCCCTAGAAGGGTAAAACGCGCGTCTCGGATTTCACTGCTAGTCACCAACCATTTTTGCTTATAATACATATGATTCAAGACAATACTAAGGCAGAGTATGCAGTATCCAAATATCCCAATAATAGTCTGATCAATTGCAGTCATAAACATCAATGCGAAGATTCAAACAAACAATCTCAAAGTATGACTACTTAGTTAAATAATACGATGCAAAGATTTGTTCAACTTTTCTTTCATTTATGCTGACACAAAAGCTATCACAAACTTCAATACTTGATTTGATAACATAATACAACCTTAGTAAGAACCTATATTGTTGACTTTGGTTCACTTGAAGGTTTGAATTATTTTCTGGTTAGCGTTTTTTTAGCGAGTTAATTTTTCTACGGGATGGGGTCGCTAACCCTATGCCCAACCCTCCTCTTTTACCCGGGTTTGGGACTGGCAGTAACTCCAGAAGAGCTACAGGCGGAGATATGAAAAGAATGAATAACAACTGAAAGGAACTGGAAAGGATTGCTCTGAACAGAGTTGGATGGAGAATGTTGGGGGTAACGGGCGTAAGTAAGTAAGTAACTTAAAGGTGTATTTAGAAAGTGACAGGTTATCAACTCTACTTTATATGAACCATCAAAACAGTTTACCTGAGTCAACCGTCGTGACATATAACATCGTAACTAAACGACTACACCATATTAGTTGCTAATATATAAGTAAAGAGAATCATTTACGACCTTGGAAACTCATATAAGTTAACTAATCCTAATTTTACTATTGGGTTGTACTTATAAACTTTCGACCGCCGTATCCTATTTGTTGACGAACATTTATATGTCTTTCCTGAATGAATTCAGCTGAATGTTTCCTTATATCTATTTATTAATTGATGGTGAATATACCTTTTAACATTTTTTTCTTTACAGTTAGGAGATGATCAAAATTCTCTTGGTTATTTTGAATTAATCAGTTCTACAAACGATTTATTACTTAAATGGACATCGAATGATTTATTATTACAAGCTTCATATGGTAACGTTTATCATTGTCATGACAACGATAATAATAATGAATATAATATTGATCAAAAGATGTCAAATGATTCAATGTATGAATCAAATAATTCCGAAGTTCCCGACCAATACTTAAATTCACAAAGTTCACAACTAATGAAAAACAACAAAAGAGTTGATTAGTAAGCGAATTATTTTTGTATTTTCAGAAGTAAAACCTTAGTTGAATGGATTATATAATTGGATTGACTTTATTCACATAAAGAATAAATTCTAATAAGTACTGGGTTGATGTTTTTGTAGTGTGGTCTACTTATATCCAAATAAGTAGTATATGGCGATGGTCAGGCATAGAATGTATTTTGACAGAAGATCGATAAGGAAAGAACTGAAATGAAGCGCAATTGGTAGAAAAATGCATGGAACAATGGGATCAGAGAAGACAAACTGATATTTACAGAAGGTACAGTGAAGATTGAGACAATCGGTTGTTATTTTGCAAATTAACTATTTGCTGTATAGTTAACAAAGTTTAGTGAGATAGTCTGTAATTTGTGATTAAATACATTCGATTTTCCCCAGCCGGTGTTTTGTTTACTAAACTTTAGAAAGCCTTAGGAGTTCACAACCACAACCATCAATCTAGGGACGAAGCCTTAATGTAAACGAGAAAATTCATATATACATTGAGATAAGATGGTGGTTGGAGGTGGTCAATAGGAAACCCTGGACCCGGGTTTAGGGCTGCTTGGCACTCGTCAGCAAGGTGTACCTGTAATCTTGTGGGAACTGGTGCTCCCTGACGGATTTGATCACGTGTCACTCAGCTTCACAGTCAGAGACGTTACCATTGGGCTATTCTGGCCGCGACCGACCTCCTGTAGGGCTGAGATGTAATCACAATTGATTGATCACTGGATGGTGATTAATGTCATGCGTGTCAAGTCCTTCTTAGTGCTGATCGAATGCTATCGATCATATATACATTCTGTGAGAGTTGCTTTGATATGGCTATTATGACACGATATTACACAGAACAGATAGAATCTGGTAACGGTAGATGAGTGAATAACACGTTAGGATTTAAAACAATAGATACTGTGTAAAGGAATGAATATCAACTTTGAGATACAGCTACACTCGGCTGACAAGTCTTAAATAGGACGAAATACTCATCCTGGATTTCACTACTAGATACATTCAACCGTTTATGAACAAGCTATGTGTAAAAGTATTTCAATGAACTCATCATCGGGGATTCGAATTTATTTTTTTAATGATTTTTCAGTGGTTTCCATTTGGGTATCTTGTCAGTATCAATGAAGAAGATTGAATATGTCCATCTACATCAAGGTAAACCGGATAAATGTAACTGTTCATAATAATAAATAATGTTTGCATCATGGATACAAGTGTGATGTAAGGGAAATGAAGTTCATTAACTAAAACTTTCGTTTGTTATACATCATGTAGGTTAAAACACTTGAAAACAACCGAATTACATGATGTTGACTATTTTTATATCAGATTAAAGAAGCATTTTCATGATAGATATTCACTGATATAAATGTGGTATTGTAGTGTGGTCTACTTATATCCAATATAAGTAGTTTATGGTGATGGTCAGACATAGAATGTATTTTGACAGAAGATCGATAAGGAAAGAACTGAAATGAAGCGCAATTGGTAGAAAAATGCATGGAACAATGGAATTAGAGAAGATGGATTGATATTTACAGAAGGTACAGTGAAGATTGAGACAATTGATTTTTATTTTGTCAATTAACTGTTTACTGTATGGTTATCAGCATTTAGTGAGATAGTCCGTTAGTGTGTGCTTAAATACATTCGTGCTCTTGTTCACTACAGTATATGTCGATAGATTTAAGTTTTATGTCACACAAGTCGGAAGTGAATAACCTGACAGCAGAACGCTATAAAGGCTGATCTAAAGAAAACAAAAATGGAATTAGAAAGGAATTGTTAATTGAAAGAATCATACAGAATGGATAGGAAATAATTCACGGATAGTTCTCATATTTTGACAAGACTTTATGTAATATTCTCGAAATCTTCGTTCATTACACAAGTAGCATTGTTCAAAGTCTGCCAGTCGTATTGTAGTGAACAAGAACACAAGTGAAGACAATCGAATGTAGTCGAACGCGAAATTACAGAATATCTTGGTAAAATCTGAGATCCATACAGTAAATACACCGTTTGCAAAATGGTAATCAATCATCTCACACTTCATTGTTCTTTCGTTTCTACACCAATCATTCTCTATACTTAGTCTTTTTTCTTCGGTCTATTCCATCAACTGCTTCCAGGCATTTCACTTTCGATTGATGATGCATACTACTTATATATATCGATATCAGTAGCACACACCACAACAGTAAATTAAAAATCTTGCTTGAGCACAAATTACAGACTATCTAACTAAATTCTGATAGCCATACAGTAAACAGTTAATTTGCAAAATAACCAATTGCGCTTCATTTCAGTTCTTTCCTTATCGATCTTCCGTCAAAATACATTCTATGCCTGACCATCGCCATATACTACTTATTTGGATATAAGTAGACCACACTACAGTATGACTACTACCAGTAAATAGTGATAAATTACTTAATGAACATGTTTAAAGTTTAGCAAGAATAGAAAAATCCAGTAAGACAATATGGGTCCAAGTTGATAGCTAATGAAAATTTGATTAATGAACTAGATAAGTTTTATGGAGTATGTAAATAAAGTAGTCAGTAATTCAGCAAAATCCGAATAACATACCAACCAAAATTGATCATAGAAGTCTTTTATTTATATTCTATGTATACAAATATTTGCTTCCATTCTAGATAATTGACGTTTGTCAAAGTTGTGAATGAATAATATTAGTTTGAACATACGGATGACATATGTTATGAAATAAGCTGTTACTAAGTAACTGTTTAACTCAGTTTTAGGATTCTTTAGTAGTACACACCTTCGACAAAATCCAGCAACTAAAAAAGTGAAATATCATTGGATTAAAATTCATTGGTTCAAATATTTTATCAGAATGGGGTTTTGTGTAGATTTTAGTAATTTTATATAGTTGAGATGATGAGTCAAAAGAAATTAGACAACCATGGAAAACCTGGAAGAACTGAACGGCCGTTTCATCCTATTGTGGGACTCTTCAGCAGTGCGCATCTACCATCCCGCCTCGTGAGATTGGAACCCAGGACCTATCGGTTTCGCGCGCGAGCACTTAACCACTAGACCATTGAGTCGGCCGGCATTCAACAGTGTCTATGTCTAGCTTCAACCAATCCACGAAATTGAGCAACCATTCACCAATATCTTCAATGAGTTGATATCTCCCAACAGACCTGGTTGAACTCCACTGGCTACTGCTTCTCACTGGAACTCCATGAAATACCTATTGAAGCTAGTCACTAGTGAGCACATGATCATTGTCAGAAGGGGGGTTTTGTGGAGATTTCAGTGGATGCGCACTGCTGAGGAGTCTCACAATAGGACGAAACGGCCGTCTAGTGCTTACATGTTTTCCATGGTGGTCTACCTTCAATTGACTCATGATCTCAACTATATCAAATATTTTAACCTAAAATAATTTATAAAAATGTTTCAAAATTTAAAAACCAGTGGGTTCATACCTACCAAATAATTATGATAAAAATTATTATTATTAGTCATTTCGATTAAAGTATGCTGTTTAATGGTGTTCAATACATCAAACTTATGTGACAACATTGAACGAATAAATTCCTTTGAGAACTGATTGAGAAATAACTATTTGGGACTCGTGAGCCGGATGTACCTGTACCTCAGAGTTGATGTTCACCTTGGGACTCGAACCCACTATCGTTCGCTTCAAACGCCATCGCATTCTACACTTAGCTACTGAGAACTGATAGCAACCTGCATGTGCAATACGGTGAAGTTGAAATTTACTTATTATTGTTTGCTTGTATCTTCTCATTAACGTTTGGGACTGCAACTGAGCAGTCGCTTATTCCCATATATGCACCTTATGCCTTAAGTCAAAAGTATTATAAGCAATGATAGATAGTGACTAGGAATGGAGTCCAGGATTCAGGTACATTCAGCTGACGAATCCCGAATGGGACGAGACGCGCGTTTTGGATTCCATCGCTAGCCACCATCCATCTTCAATATTGAAAATAGTTTGTCAAATATCATAATTTTATTCTTTAAATTTTATTTCTAGATGCATCATCTGAATATTGTATCATTTTAATTGGTTTTGATGGAATACCACATCCACCAATACGATTACATGGTGGATTCAATGCTGTTTATAATTTTCTAATATGTTTGGATCAAGGTTTACAACCTAATGCCTGTTTAAATCCATCAACTACTGAACTAGATAGTAAGTAGATCAATTTACTGAATGTATTTTAATTCTTTATATCTAATAACAAATATATAAGAACTCTCGTCTAAATTAGAGCGAATAGTTTCACAGTATTTGAGCGCCGAGTTGATGTAAGACATAAAATAATTCCTTGAAAAAAGCTTGGACCAGATTGCCAGGCGAAACGTTGGATTTACGACAAATTCATTCGCTGAGATTTTACAAATATATATTATTCCTATTTAATGTCTAATAACAAATATGTTGTGAAATTCATAATAATATCAGAAGGGTTTTTTTGTGGAGATTTAGTATTTTCATAATTGAAAGCATGAGTCAATTGAAGATAGACCACCATGGAAAACCTGGAAGAACTGGACGGCCGTTTCATCCTATTGTGGGACTCCTCAGCAGTGCGCATCCACGATCTCGAACCGCGAGATTCGAACTCAGGACCTACTAGTTTCGCGCCATAGAACTTAATCGACAAACCACTGAGCCGGCATCCCATGGTGTTTATGTATAATTCTAACCAATCCACGAAGTTGAGCAACCGTTCACCCACAATAGGACGAAACGGCCACCTAGTGCTTCCAGGTCTTCCCTGGTGGTCTAGCTTCAATTGACTCACGCTTTCAATTATGAAAATTCATAATAGGCTATAGGGAATCAGGCAATGAAGAATAATGTAATGGTATTTTTGTATTGTCTTCATGAACAGAAAATTGACTTTCTGATGTCTTATAACTTAGTGTAAGTTACTTTTACAGTTCATCATAAATAGTTTCTATTCCAGGATCATAAGTTGAACAAATGTCTGAAAAGGAATTCTATCTAATCACTGAAAAGATTTCTCCCAGCTTTCTACCTAGCATTTCTGTTGTGACGTGTGGTATCCGAAATCTGATAATGATACGTAGTGTGTTACGTGCTAACTCTCCAGCTAACTATTTGAGCAAGAACACAAGATTTAGCGAGAAAGTGTATTGATTTACCGAATGAAATGCACAAATACTCATATATATACCACTCTATCCTTGGGAAATTGATGCCATTGAAATGGACTTGACCTTTAGGTAACTTCTAGTTACCATCGATCGACTTTTTGCTACTTCTGATTGACTCTCCATAATAACTTCAATAGGTTTCCGAAAATTTATAAATTTGATATCTGATTGAGACTCATAATGAATTCCACAAACTAGGGGATTGAAACAAGCTCTACAACTATTTAGAACTAAAAAATACAATAAAATTATTAACACTCTTCGAAATGTGTTAGTATGAATAAAAGAAAAGTACCAATTTACCTTCACATGAGACTGCATTTATTAAAATCATGAATCCTGTTATGAAATATTTAAACTATACAAGAAGAAGGCGTTTTTGTGGATAGTTGAGATCATGTGTCAGTTGAAGCTAGATAATCATGGAAAACCTGGAAGCACTGGACGGCCGTAACATCCTAGTATGGGACTCCTCAGAAGTGAGCGTCCGTCATTCCGCCCCGCGAGTTTCGAACCCAGAAACTACCGGTCTCGCGCGAGAATGCTTTCGTGGATTAGTTGAAGTTAGACACCGTTGGATGCCGGCAGGCTTAGCGGTCCAGAGATTAAGCACTCGCTTGCGAGACCGATAGGTCTTGGGTTAAAATCTCATGAGGCGAAATCGTGGATGCACATTGTTGAGGAGTTTTACAGTAGGACGAAACGGCCGTCCAGTACTCCCAGGTTTTCCATGGTGGTCTAGCTATAATTGGCTCATGAATTCAATCATTAAACTACTTAAACTAGTTGGTATTTAACATTTTGAAATATAGCATGATGATTATTTAGTTACAATCATTTATTCTATGAAAACAATAGTATAAGAAATCTCATAAAATTTTTTTTCTGTCAGAAGTCATTGAAAAGGATCAAGTAAAAGGAACAAGATCAAATGAAAATCAAAAAATCAAATCAAAATTTTGGAATTTAATTGATTTTCGAAGCAAAACAAATGATACTAAAAACGATGATGATCATGATGGGGATATCAGTGATCATGATGATGTGAATAACAAGAATGGAACCAATTCAATTCAATCATTAAATAATGAAATTAATGATAAAAAGAGTAAACTGACAGAATCATTAGTGATTTATAATGAAAGATTCAAAAATATCGGAACTAAAGGTGTTATATTTAAAGTTATGCATTTTGAAGTAAGTTGGTTTAGTTACTATGAGATACTTTGTATATGTTTGTTAATTTTACTATGAAGTACATATCCATTATGGAGAGGAGACGTGGAGAACTACGAAAGCCATTAACAGTTGTCTACGCAAGATACTTTGTATCCAGTGGCCAGACACTATCAGCAACAAGTTACTGTGGGAGACAACGAACCAGATTCCAGTGGAGGAAGAAATCAGGAAGAAGCGCTGGAAGTTGATTAGGCACACATTGAGGAAATCACCCGATTATGTCACAAGATAAGCCCTCACATGGAATCCTGAAGGCCAAAGGAAAAGAGGGGGACCAAAGAACACATTACGCCGAGAAATGGAGACAGACATGAGAAGAATGAACAAAAATTGGATAGAACTAGAAAAGAAGGTCCAGAATAGAGTGAGTTGGAGAATGCTGGTCGGCGGCCTATGCTCCATTGGTAGTAACAGGCGTGAGTAAGTAAGTAAGTAACCCATCCATTAGGTATGTGTTATAACGTGTGAGGATTTGAACTAAGTATAGGGCATGTCTCTGAAATAGACAGTACTGGACTACTAGGCTGATAATGTGTGACTGTTATTGCTTCATTTAAATGACTGTTTGTCATGGATTCATTAAGGCTTTCACCAACATATTCATTCATTCTGCAATCAATTTCCAGTTCTTTGTGCAATTGAGAAATTAATGTGTCAACTTCCGTCGCACCCCCAAAGCATGGGTGACTCAGCAGTTTTGCGTGTAATTTGTCAATGAATTCCAACTGACTCTTCTTAAAAAGCTGCTCTTGTTGCTGAAATAGCAACTGTAATTGATCGGAAGTTAGGGCCAGTTTTTTACTGTATGAATAATGGCCAATGTCGTTCAAGGACAGCAACGACAATTTTGAATGCTGATTGCAGGAAATAATCACCTGATTTTCGACCAATCGTAGACTGACTTTGGTTCGATTTTTTTTTACCCCGTCGCCAGTTGTTATAAATTGTGAGTGAGTGCGTGCGTGCCCTGTTTGATATATGAACGTGCTGTTCCCGCAAATGAGAGAGTAGCGAATTATCGACCAGAGCAATGATACAAAAAGTCTGTATGAACAGTCTTGCCATCTGCCTTATCCAGCCAGTTAAGTCCAGAACACCAATAACAGCTTCTGCGATATCAAGCATTATTCTCAAACATACTGGGTTTATATACCCAGCAAACTGACCACATCGTTCCATGAAATAGAAAATAAAATTTGTACAAGATTTAGCCAAATGTGGCTGTGAACAGGGGGGGAACAGTAATTAATAGAATAGGGATAACTTAAGAATGGTAAGTCGTATAATAATAGTTCATAGGTCATTATAAAGCTTATAATAAGAGGGACAGGAATATGGATGCTTTAGATACTTAACAATTATAGAAAAAAGAAATATACATATCATATTGGTCCATAAACAGTTCTCAAAGTTACAATTTATAATTCTTCATGGGATATAACAGTGTGATTAAACGTAAACGACATTGATAGATACTATATATTTGTTGAATACTGAAAACGTTACATATAACCTTATCATTGTGAACTCAGTCTGACGTTTATCCATCAGCACTTTTATCAACATTGATCTGTTATGTATGATCACGTCACAATAGTCCAAGAATTAAACTAATCAACTGATCAACACGAAATCCGTTTCAAGTATTGGTCACTTTCTTTCCATTTGAAAAATGAATTACCGACTAATTTGTACTCAACAGAGAATGAATCTTTAATTGCTTATATATTAAAATAATCGACAGATTAAGACCAGACTAAACAAAATGCAGCTATATCTTATACTTAAAGCTAACAAATTTACTCTATCAACTAATGACTATTAACTATTGTTAATAATTACATTCGTAAGTAGTAGATCATGCCGTTCTACGTCCGCTTATCTTCGGTTCCTTTAACCGCAGATGAAGTGTTCTGACTGATATATTATAGATAGATAGTGGGCAAGCAGTAGTCAAATGCAAAATTTCTCCAGATTATTGTAAATGCTGAATAAACAGACTATTTGATACTTGTATTTCTAATCGTTCTAATTGTGTGGACACCAAAAAGACGTACTTGATATCTTGAGAGAACTAAAGATCTGTATATAATTCGAGCCCAAGTTATTCAGGATTAAAATCCTGGATGTTACCATTGAGTTATTGGAAGTGTGACTGACGATATATAAGCTTAAGAGGTTTATACTGATTGGTCCATGAGTGGTAAACAGGATCTTGAGATGGTGGAGAAGATTTGTAGCTCAGGTGGATGATTTTGATGGAGTTTTGTTCTCTAAGATGGATGGTTTGGTCGCGGAGCTTTCATCGTCCACGACCAAACTATCCAGCTCAGAGAACAAAACTCCACCAAATTCAGGATCTTGTTTATTTTATCAACATGATAAGTTGCAACGTGGACCCCTGTCTAAGTAGATCAATTGAGCATGGACTACACATTTTTTTCGGTATCTCCTATTACCTAACTTATATGTTCATATGATCAGTAATTTACTTCATGTCCAGATATTCATTTCAAATACATTTTGACAATTATGTTAACCAAATGACCGTAAACGATTTTAATGAGAACTAATATATTTATTCAATAAAATTGATTATAATGGTTGATCGAAATCCATTTTAATCAGACTAATTAGCGAACTATTTGCTTTAAGTTATATTTTCAGGATTTGTGGAAATAGTTAAATTTGATTTAACATGACCAGTGGCCTATGCTCCTCGACGAGGGGTAACAGGCGTAAGTAAGTAGTGACCAGTGGAGCCCAATCCATGTTGGGTGTGAAATAGTTGCCCACTGAAAACAATGGACAATGGGGTTGCGCAAGATCATGGATCGATCCAAGTTGGAAATTAACACCATTAAATTCCAGATCAGTAGTCCAGAAGTTAGGCGTTCACATGCAAGACTAGAGGTTTTGCGTTTGATTCAGATGTTTGAGGTTGTGGAAGAGCACTGATGAGCAGTCCCATATTATGACGAATCAACCATCCACTGCTTCCAGGTTTTCACTAGTGGTCTAACTTAGATTAATTAGTGAATACAACTTTAAATTATATTTCAGTTATTATATCTATTCATTGACAAAAAACATGTACAATAATTGTGATCTAGATATTCTTTCGCCCCCAAATGCCCTGGTACGGCCGAGAGTGGGGAGAGTCCGCTCTCCCTCTCCAAATGCTCTCACATGGTCACGCGTATATAACCTCTGTCAGGGAAGTCCTACTAACTACCTTTTCGCACCACGGGTGTTGTTTACGAGGTTGAGAGGACAAAAAGCGAATGTCCGGCCCTTTAACCGGATCGGTAGACACGGAGGCTTCACCTAGGGAAGTTGGAAAATCCTGATTTCAAACCAATGGTGTACATGAGCTCAAGTATCCTGACAGAACAAATGACGTATGAATTAATCGTTGATCACCGGCCACCATGGGACTGCATCTCTTCACGATGTTCCACTGCCTTGTGGATCAGATGTTTAAATCAAAAGCGCCGGGTGTTGCTTCCTAATAAGACCACCTGCTTCAGTTTAGGCACCTGGTCAGTATCACAGCCCTCACACAAATCAAATGAGATTTGCGCGGCGCATATATATCTGGTTCTTCCTTGTACCAATATTTATGTGTTTAAATAAACACTATATTATCATCGATAAATATGGTCCCATTTCATTCACTAAAAGTATTTCTTTTCATTTGTTTTCAAGATCCCAACTAACCAACAGTCTAACGTTTTCATAGAACAAGATAGTAAACACGTACAAGTAAATTCATCCACGGAACCTACCGATGATAATGAATTAAGACAAACTGATACCATTGATAATCAAAATAATCCGATTTCTCAGGAAGAAGCATCAATAAACCCAATGAATATCATTGTAACAATCAAATTACAATTAGTTTTGAGAACTTTCAAAGCTTGTAGGTTGATTTTTAATGGAATTATTTATTCATTATGCAGAAAGTTCAGTGTAACTGTAGAAAGCAAGATTTTTTATTTACTATTGTGGTGTATGCTACTAATGTCGATAGATATAAGTAGTAGAGATCATCAATCGAATGCGAAATACCTGTTAGCAGAAGGTTGAGAAAGTTGAAGAAAAGAGAATGATTGGTTTAGAATGGAAAGAACAATGGAGTGTGAGATGATTGATTAACATTTTGCAAACTCCACCTGCAGCTCCTCCGAGGGCTACTGCCGGTCTATGAGCCCGGATAAAGGAGGAGAGTTTGGCATGGGGTTAGCGAACCCATCCCGTACAAAACTAACTCGCTAAAAAGACGCTAACCAGAAAAAATTACTCAAACCATTTAAACTCTACCCTGGGAGTTGAAGGAAGAATTATGACGCCTCATGATGAAAGCCGAGATTCTTCGGAGGTTACGAGGTTGATGCCCGTTCTAACAATTCGAGCAAAAATTTTCATAAGTACATGGAACGTCTGGACAATGTGGGAGATCGGAAGAGTCTTCTAAATTGCTGCTGTATTTACTGTATGGATCTCAGATTTTACCATGAAGTTCTTTAATGTTTTCATCATACCGAAGTATGGGGTAAAGCGTTTGTTTTAGTGAAAACTATCTCTTTTTTTCTGTTACAGTGTGTAGTTTGATTTATCTTGTTATAAATTCTCTTTTTTTTAACAAAACTTCCTTAATTTTTGGTTACAAAATTTTTTGATGGATCGATTTTTTCTAGTTCTCCCAAGTAAACTGTTCTTGAAGTATTTCAATTCATTCAAAGTTTTTGTGTTTAAATACAAATCATATGTCTTGTCAGGTAAGAGAAACTTACCTAATTACGCCTGTCACTCCTCGTGGAGGAGCATAAGCAACCCATCAGCACTGTCCATGCAACCCTGTCCTAGGCAATCCTTTCCAGTTGTTATTGATCCTCTTCATATCTGTTTCCGATTTCCGACGCAGTATTCTCTCTGACCTTCCTCTTTTTCGTTTCGCTTCAGGATTTCAAGTTAGGGCTTTCTTGTAATGCAGTTTTGTGATTTCGGTAATTTATGTCCTACCCAATTCCTACATCAGTGCTCACCTACAACCCCGCATGCAGTAATCAAACCCGAAATCTTTGGTCTCACACTCTAACGCTTAGTGTTCATACTAAAGAGTCATCATCCAATGGTGTTGATGTCTAACCTCAATCAATTTAAAACATTGTGTGATCAATCTTTCAGCTACAGAAACAATAAGTAGTTTTCAAATATTAAATTAGGAGTACTTCAACCATGGATCTTTCGGCTGAGAAATTCAGAGTTCAACTTATTCAAAGTAGTTAAAACTCATCAACAAAAGTTGGAGAACGGTCAGAACAAACAACTACTTAACATAGTATTACTCAAATAGAGCAAGATCGGTGAGATTACAATTTATGGACGAGCCAATCGGAAGCGTTCGAGGGATTTCAAGGTCACGGTGCCGATTTCAGTACCTGGTGCTCATGTACGATCGGTTCACAGAGAATTATAGAGAAGACTTGACTTGACTACTAAGAAGTTCCTGTACTTATAATTGTGGATATTAAATGACTTGTAGACCTTGTACAGACTACCGTGATGTTATTCTTCGATGTAATATATGTTGAAGGAAGACGTTTGCTAGAATAGGAACCTTTATCGCTTGATTCAGATTGAGACTAAGGCATATTATAATAATTTCCGCGAACTGTATAATAAAGGCACCTGTAACATTGGCTGCAATAATCGCAGATGTTACTGAAGCTTCGGCTGTTCAGTTGTATTAGTATTGTAGGGAAATATCTATAATAAAAATGATAAATTTGCACAACTGGAGTACACACAAACAATATTGAAGCTATGTGGTCGAGGCTGAGAGGGATTTTGTGACCTTATCATGGTTCCAGAGACCAACTATTATGGAGCCATATGGATGAGTTCCTCTACCTAATGCATTACGTTTTTGGAACCTTAGAATCTTTTTCTAATCTTGACAAGTTTTTGGACCATGTAAAGGAAGTGTAAACACTTTAATTCTTTGGTGTTGTATAATATATTTTTACTCTATACTAACTGTTTACTGATTGGCTAACATTCCTCAAGGTCATATTAGATTCATTCAAAGGTCGTCCATGAACTGTAGTCTCGCCGGAGGATCTAATTCCCTTTTTTGTCTAGTGAATGTTTTCAAAATATTATCTCATATTTTTTTTACTAAGGGTTTACATATACTCACCATATGAACAATGTACGAAAACTTCTATCATCACTAGTCATACATTCTGATGTTAATTGTACAAGTTCTTTTGATCAATATGAGAAACTAACCAAAGAAAAATGGAATGAATTATTTGTGAATATACCAGACAAAAAAGTGAGTAGACTTATTCAGAATATAACTAGTTCGAATTGAAATTCCTTTTTCTGTATAGTTCAATAGTGGATGTACTATTTAATATATTTGAAATTTGCTATGTCTAATAAATGAAAGTGATATGCTTGATGTTAATTACGATTTGTCGGTAAACGAACGAAGGTCAATGACGCAGTGATACGATAGGCTAATCTAATCCGTTGTCCCAGAGCCCCATTAACTAGAGTGAGAAGTCAAAGACGAAGTAATAGTTTCGTCATTTAAGTAATAAAATATTTTCAGGACTTTCATACATAGTAAGCTAGAATAAAGTATGATAGATACACAACAAATAATGATTGTGTGATTGGGTTATTCGACACAGGGTATATGAAAAAGAGAGATACGTTAAAGAAATTCAAAATTTTCCTACACCTATCCATTTGGCAGATCAGTATGGTTGTTAAATTATTATTGCTTTTCCTTATACTTGAAAATCAAATATTTTAATGATGGATAGTGACTAGCAGTGGAATCCAGGACACGCGGAAAGATTCAAACAAACAATACTAAGTGAATTCAAACTTCACCCCATTACACAAGCAAGTGGCTATCAGGACTCAATAGCTAAGTAGATAAGGCGATGGCGTTTGAAGCTAATGGTACTGAGTTCGAGTCCTATGGTGAACATCAACTCTGAGATGAAGGTAAGTCCAGCTGATAAGTCTCAAATAGGACGAAACGCGCGTCAAACTGGATTTCACTGTTAACCACAATCCATCTTTGCTTACAATGCATGTGAATTAAGGCTATATCGAGGCAATACGCACAGTATGCACATATGCCAATCAGAGACTGACCAGTTGTATTCCTAAACACCAATGGGAAGATTAAAAGAAGTAATAATAAGTGAATTGAAATGTTGTATTGTTTAAACAAAAAGTCAAATAATAATGAAACTATGATGGTGTGTGCTACTGATGACGATAGATATAAGTAGTATGAATCATCAATCCAAAGTGAAATGCCTGGAACCAGAAAATTTAGAAGATAGAAGAGAAAAGACCGATAACAGAGAATGACTGATGTGTAAACGAAAAAGCAATGAAGGGTGAGACGATTGATTGATATCTTGCAAATGGTGTTTTTACTGTATGGTTCTCAGATTTCACTAAGATGTTCTGTAATATTGTATTTGAATACATTCGATTGTCTCCACTTGTGTTCTCGTTCACTACAGTACGACGGACAACTGAACACTTAAATAGTTTGAACACTTGGATCTTGAATGTGTTGAAATATCACAATGGAACTAAAAGTGTCTCTTAAAGCGCAAATAAAGTTTTAAAAAATTTGAAATTTATCTGATGATTCTAAACGAACTTCAGATTCTTGAATATAGTCTGACAAACTACTTAAGCTCTTTGTTTAGTGAAATTGTGTAGAAGAATAGGGAATGTATTCCCGAAATGTAAAAAAGCAAATGTCAACTGAGAAATAGATGAGCAACTTTTGAGTGTTCACAGTAATCTAAAGAAAAATACTAAAATGCCGGATGGTCCTAGACAGATTAGGTGTTTTTAAAAGTAAGACAGATTACTTTCTGTGTCGTAACTACATTTTTATGGTGTATTTTATTACCTAATCTATTTGTTTACAAACTATTTCTATATAAGAAGGGGGTTTTTGTGGAGTATCAAGTAATTTTATGTTGTTGAAATCATCAGTCAATTGAAGCTAGACCACCATGGAAAACTTGAAAGCAGTGGATGGCCGTTTCGTCCTATTGTGGGACTACTCAGCAGTTCACATCCACGATCACACATCGCGAGATTTGAACCCAGGACTTATTAGTCTCGCGTGCGAGCGCTTAACCTCTAGACCACTGAGCCAGCAATCAACGATGTTAATGTCTAACTTTCGTGAATTGGTTGAACTTAGACATTAACACCGTTAGATGTCTGCTCGGTGGTCTAGTGTTTAAGCCCTTGCGCGTGAGACTTATAGGTCTTGGGTTCAAATCGCTTGAGGTTAGATCTTGGATGCGCACTGCTGAGAGTCCCACAATAGGACGAAACGATCGTCCAGTGCTTCCCGGTTTTCCATGATGGTTTAGCTTACATTGACTCATGATTTCAATTATATACTACTTCGATATAACTTTATGTTGAGTCGCTAAGTATTTATGTGATTAGTAATTTACTTCATGTCCAGATATTCATTTCAAATACTCTTTGACAATTATATTAAACAAATGACCGTATACAATTTTAATAAGAACTAATATATTTCGATGGGGTTTTGTTCTCTGAGCTGGATGGTTTGGTAGTGGAGCTTTTATCATCCTTCTGAACGAAATCATCAGTACAAACTACAATAAAAGTGAATATTAATGTTAATCGAAATCCATTTCAACCAGACGTGTCGTCGAAAGTAATATGATAGTCAGAAGGTATGTCTATATCTCTGAAATAGCTTGACTCTTAATTTAGTCAACAGACTTGTGAAATTAAATTATCAACATTTCAATCAGGTTTTTTTGTAGTAAACGAGGCCGCTATTTATTATTATTCTTTATTTAAACACGAAATCTCTTAGTAGAATCTGAGAGTTATACAGTGAATACACCGTTTGCAAAATGTCAATCAATCGTCTCACACTTCATTGTTCCTTCATTTCCATACCAATCATTCTTTGTTCTCATTCCCTTTTCTTCGATCTTTTTAACCATCTGTCACTAGGCATTTCATTTTCGATTGATGATACTTACTACTTATATCTATCGACATCAGTAGCATACACCACACCTTGATAAACTTTATTATGATATGAAAACCAGCAAAATCTATCAAATACTTCCTGTTAAGACAATTGTTAACAAGATCTTGTGAATATATATTTGAATAATGATTGATTTAGCATATAATTTCTTCAGTAGGGGAATTCGTGGAGTTTGTAATGCTTTTGTTTACAGCGATTGAATTTACGAGTCGATCTATTCAAGATTATCATTGAAAATCATGAACCATTGGACAACTGTTTCTTCCTGACACAAAACTGCTCAGTAGTGTGCATTAAGTTGTTTTGTTTAAATGAACTGATAACTTTGTATATTTTATTCTTTATAGAATTTTGATCCCCGATGCATTTATGAATGTATATATTATGGAGGTTGTGTATCAGAATTACGCAATGAAGTGAGTGCTATAAATGATTGTCAATTACAAATTGAGTTTATATATATTATGATAGCTAAGTAGTTTGCTAAATACATTACCCAATAGTAATATAAGTTATGGTTTACATGAGAGATAGAATGAATGCAAAATGTGTGATATTATTTATTAGTCCCCCTTTTAAGATGGTGGTTGGAGGTGGTCAAAAGGAAAACCTGGAACCGGGCTTCGTGCTACTTGGTACTCGTCAGCAAGGTGTACTGTAATCTTGAGGGAACTGGTGCTCCCTGGCGGATTCGATCTCATGTCACTCAGCTTCATAGTCAGAGACTTTACCACTGAGTTATTCGGGCAGCGACCGACCTCCTGTAGGACTTGACACGCATGACATTGATCAGTCCCCCTTTTTATTGTTTGGATGGACACCAAAATGGTTTTGTAAGTATAAATTTGTTATCACTAAGCAATCTGTAATAAACATTGTTAAACAAATTAAGGAAATGGCATAAATACAAAACGTCGTGTACTCTTTAAAATATCAGGAGAGGTATTGAATGGTTTAATCACTAACGTTCACCTTAGTCTATGACATTCATTTTGTATTTAGTCAATTAATACTCTAATGTGGAACAGTGAAATTCATTGAAACGTGTTCATACTTCAAGCTATACATTTAAAACGATATGTGAATAATCAATCTGAACATTTAAAACCCGCCTAAATATCTGATTTGAATAGAGCTATGCTTACCAATACATAATTACTTCGGTAAAATAATAGAACAGATTATAAGCAAAGATGGATAGTGGAAGCCAGGACGCGCGATACTTCTTCCTATCTGGACGTACCTGCATCTCAGAGTTAATGTTCACTCTCAAACTCGAACCAAGTACCTTTCGCTTCAAATGCCATCGCGTTATCCACTCGGCCCCTCAGTCTTGATAGCCACTTGCTTGTGCTAGCCACTATACATCATTGCCTACAATGCTTGTGAATTAAGGCAATATCGAGGCAATACGCACAGTATGCACATATGCCAATTAGAGACTGACCAGTTGCAGTCCTAACACATCGATGGGAAGATTAAAACAAACAATACTAAATGAGTTTAATAGAACAGATTGTTCAGAATTTGAATATTTTCAATTACAAATAATCTCAAAACTGTTACAGAATATCTTACATAAATGAAAACATGTAAATGTAATCAACCTTACCTTCCTGAACTGTGCA